TTACACCAGTAGCTTCGTAAATGTATGTATATGTCAGGGTAGAGACTGCGATCTTGTAGAATCAGAGATTCTACCAGTAGAGATTGCGATCGGAGTCTCTCCTGGTACAGACGCTGATTCTATAGAATAACCTATGCAATCGCAATCTCTACCAGTAGAAGCTCAAATCTGATCCTACTAGTAGAGATTGCAATCTAAGTGAATATTTAGAAAAACAAAATTTACTTTCATATATTGTAAAATGACATCTTCCATTGAAAAGTGCACACTGTTTGTCCAACTTAATGTTTACAAACAAAATGGAAATAAAATATTGTTACTTTGTTTTCATTTATGATTGTTATTGTAAATAAAAGTAATTCTAAAATGGAAAAAATATTTCAATGTTTATTTTAGAAAATCTCACACTTTATTGTGAGTGCTAAAGTCAGCTATGTCCGTCAATAAATGACGTTAGCAACATTTAGGTCCATCATAAATGTGACATTATTTATTATCAACAATCACTGATGTGTGCACATTTCAATGTAAGATGTCGAATATTCACATAAAACAATATGTCACAAAAGTGAGTTTTGTCGGATCCATGTCACCTTCTTAACATGTCTCTGATCTCACCTCTCTGACCAGTAACTGACTGGTGTAACTGTTCACGGTGTCCTCCCAGGAATCCAGTCATTTCCCCACCTGGTCAATTCCTCACCTACCATTTCCCCACCTGGTCAATTCCTCACCTACCATTTCCCCACCTGGTCAATTCCTCACCTGCCATTTCCCCACCTGGACAATTACACCATCCAAATATATATCTGGCCGGTCATTTTCCCACCTTCCTGGGTTTTTTTGGTTGTTATTTCACTCAAATATAAGAGTGAATGAACAAGAAAAGTGAATGAACAAGAAGTAGTGTAAAATACATTTCATTCTTTAATACTGAGGTCCAATCCGGCTTCCACAGTACTGACAATATTTTTGTGTTGGGGACTATAAAAATATCTAAATAATTAGCACTTCATTATTAAGGGTAGAGTTTTCGATTGATTAAAAACATATATTTTAATGTAAAATCTTGTGTCTCACTAAATGAAGGCTTTACTGATTCCTTTGAGTGTATGTATGGCGTTTGACAGGGCTGTCAGTTGTCACCCTAATCGAGGGAGGAGGAAAGATCGGCCTAGCACAGAGCGAAAGATTATGCCCCTTTTGTATTGTACCCATTATTGAGTCTGAACATCACTTCTGCTTAGAATGTAATTTTTATAATAATCTTCGTCAGGCCCTGCTCCCTATTTAAAGTGTTATTACACTTTTCCATCTCTCCATATATTTGTACAATTGCTGTCATCTTATAATGCTTCTCTTCTCAATAATCTAGCTAGCTTTTAAGAAACGTTCACAATTTCTCAACTGAATTGATGCAATGTGGTACTCTACCTGATTTTATCTCATCTCTCATACATCATGTTCTATGTATCTGTATAATGGGCCGGTGGCCCCTTTACTGAAATAAACACAGTTTCACTGGAAACAGTCTAGTGTTACATCTGAATAAAATGCATATTATTGTTCAGCAAATAAAGTGTCTTTGTTGTTTGCCCACAGATGAATCGGAGTCTCTGCCAGTTGAATTGGAAACTGTACTGGTAGAATCTCCGATTGTACCAGCAGAGACTCCGATCGCAATCTCTACTGGTAGAGACTCCAATCGCAATCGCAGATCTCAATCCCTACCGTCATATATATCTCCATGGGAACACTTGGTCCTTACTTCCTAAATATCTTCTCTTGGTCTTTAAAGAGACCCTTCTTTCTTTGGTTCTTTTTTGGTCTGTAAATGTAAATTTAAAAAAATGTACAGCTAAACCTGGATATACCGCCACCATCCGTCCAGACAAATTTTGGCGGCAATTCCAGGGGCGGTATATCCAGGGGCGGCAATTCCAGGGGCGGTATATCCAGGGCTGGTATATCCAGGGACGGTATATCCAGGGGCGGTATATCCAGGGACGGTTTATCCAGGGGCGGTATATCAAGGGGCGGTATATCCAGGGGCGGCAATTCCAGGGGCGGTATATCCAGGGCTGGTATATCCAGGGACGGTATATCCAGGGGCGGTATATCAAGGGGCGGTATATCCAGGGGCGGCAATTCCAGGGTTGGCAATTCCAGGGGCGGCATATCCAGGGGCGGCAATTCCAGGGGCGGTATATCGAGGGACGGTATATCGAGGGGCGGCAATTCCAGGGGCGGTATATCGAGGGGCGGTATATCGAGGGGCGGCAATTCCAGGGGCGGTATATCCAGTGGCGGTATATCCAGGGGCGGCAATTCCAGGGGCGGTATATCGAGGGGCGGTATATCAAGGGGCGGGATATCCAGGGCAGTATATCCAGGGGTGGTATATCCAGGGGTGGCAATTCAAGGGGCGGTATATCAAGGGGCGATATATCCAGGGGCAGTATATCCAGGGGCGGTATATCCAGAGGCGGTATATCCAGGGGCGATATATCCAGGGGCGGTATATCCAGGGGCGGTATATCCAGGGGCGATATATCCAGAGGCGGTATATCCAGGGGCGGTATATCCAGGGGCAGTATATCCAGGGGCAGTATATCCAGGGGCGGTATATCCAGAGGCGCGGTATATCCAGGGGCGATATATCCAGGGGCGGTATATCCAGGGGCGGTATATCCAGGGGCGATATATCAAGGGGCGGTATATCCAGGGGCGGTATATCCACGGGCAGTATATCCAGGGGCGGTATATCCAGAGGCGGTATATCCAGGGGCGGCAATTCCAGGGGCGGCATATCCAGGGGCGGTTTATCCAGGGGCGGTATATCCAGGGGCGGTATATCCAGGGGTTGTATATCCACGGGCGGCAATTTCAGAGGCGGTATATCCAGGGGCGGCAATTCCAGGCGCAATATATCCAGGGGCGGTATATCCAGGCGGCAATATCCAGGGCAGTATAGGGCGGTATATCCAGGGGTAGTATATCCAGGGCAGCAATTCCAGGGGCGGTATATCCAGAGGGCAATTCCAGGGGCGGTATATCCAGGGTGGCAATTCCAGGGCGGTATATCCTGGGGCGGCAATTCCAGGGGCGGTATATCCAGGGCGGTATATCCAGGGATGTATATCCAGGGTGGTATATCCAGGGCAGCAATTCCAGAGGCGGTATATCCAGGGTAGCATATCCAGGGGTGGCATATCCAGGGGCGGCATATCCAGGGGCGGTATATCCAGGGGCGGTATATCCAGGGGCCGTATATCCAGGTGTGGCATGTCCAGGTGCGATATTTCCAGGGGTGGCATATCCAGGGGTGGCATATCCAGGGCGGTATATCCAGGGGCGGTATATCCAGGGCGGCAAAGGTATATCAGGGGTGGCAATTCCAGGGTATATATAGCAATTCCAGGGCGCGGTATATCCAGGGGCGGTATATCCAGGGGCGGCATATCCAGGGCGGGGGCGCGTATATCGAGGGGCGGTATATCAAGGGGGCGGTATATCCAGGGGCAGTATATCCAGGGGCGGTATATCCAGGGGCAGCAATTCCAGGGGCGGTATATCCAGGGGCGGTATATCCAGGGGCGGTATATCCAGGGGCGGTATATCCAGGGGCGGTATATCCAGGGGGGCGGTATATCCAGGGGCGGTATATCCAGGGGTGCAGGGGCGGTATAGGGGCGGTATCCAGGGGTGTATATCCAGGGGTGGCATATCCAGGGGCGGTATATCCAGGAGCGGTATATCCAGGGGTATATCCAGGTATATCCAGGGATGTAATTCCAGGGCTTGGCAATTCACAGGGGCGGTATATCCAGGGGCATATCAGGGGCAGTATATCCAGGGGCGGTATATCCAGGGTGGTATATCGGTATATTTCCAGGGCGGTATATCCAGGGCAATTTATCCAGGTATATCCAGGGGCGGTATATCCAGGGGTGGTATATCCAGGGATGGCATATCCAGGGGCGGTATATCCAGGGCGGGGCGCGGTATATCCAGGGCGATATATCCAGGGGGCGGTATATCCAGGGATATATCCAGCATATCCAGGGGCGATATATCCAGTGGTGGCATATCCAGGGCGGTATATCCAGGGGCGGTATATCCAGGGGCGGTATATCCAGGGGCGGCATATCCTGGGGTGGCATATCCAGGGGCGATATATCCAGGGGCGGTATATCCAGGGGCGGTATATCCAGGTAGTTACAAGACCGTGCTTGAACTAATGCAAAAAACATTGCCGGTGTAAAGTGACCCATGGGATAAGTTTAACCCTGAACAGACAAAGAGTTTGTGTGTAACATTTCAAAGATATTACTGACTGTAATTCTGCTCCTTATAACTCCTCGTACTGGAATAACCGTTTCCAGGTCACACCAAACTCTTCGCCATTTTAATGAAATGGCACTGGGGTAGCCCCAGTGGATATCAACGTTCGTCAACCAATAGGTCCGGATTCGATTCCACATTGCAAATTATCGATGTTCTGTGCTACTGTATATCATAGATTATACCTACACGTGAAATAAAATAACACTGCTAATCATCTTCTTACACATAAATTAAGATTTCTTTATATTTGTAAGTGGAAATGTAACTCTATGAATGAATCATTCTGTGAATGAGACGAAACGGGTCACGCGCCCTTGTACAGCAATACAATGGAAGATATACACCAAAGGATAAGATTGAACCAGTGATACATGCATGTTTCGGAATACTTTCAATAATTCACGTATGCTAGGATATGATCACCTTTGGCCAATGTTAGGGGGCCTGGATTCAGGTGGGGCTAAATTAATGTTCACGTGTATGTTTATTGCTGTTGTTTTGCTGAAGTTTGCCATCCGCTCAGTATGTACACAGAACCACTACGGTGGAATTGCAATTTGTCTCTCGTGTCCCTCGTAAAAGAATTTGTTTGCAGCAATTGGCTCTTTGTTTATTGCAGGTCTCATTCTCTAATTCCAACCTTCATCACACAGGATTGTCTCCCCATCCTCTGGTCACGCCGCACCTGTCCAATGTCAAGGTCACTGATGATGTTAATTTCCATCATATCAACGTCGGTGTCCTTCCGCCCAGACAGATACGGAAGTAAATTTTAGATGTATATATACTCAGCCGCAAAAGAAACGTCAGTACGAAATCAAAATTAGATAGGCACTGTAATCAAATCATTACAGAAATGGACATAATAAGAGGAACATTTTTTTGTGTACAATATTTTGACACATCAATGAATAATTCAGCACAATTCCAAGACATTACGTGAACGTTTGCAGTCTATTCAGACTCTTGACTTCAGTATCTAGTGTGACCACCACGAGCGGCAATAACTGCAGCACAGCGTCTATGCATGGAGTGCACCAATCGATTGATGAAGGCCATTGACACCTTGAACCACACTCTGAGAAAGGCCTGGCGCAATAAATCGGCTGTGTTCGGCCTTGGTATGACATTATTCAGTCTCCTCTGAATTTCAACCCAAATATGTTCAACTGGGTTTAAATCAGGACAAAGTGCTGGCCACTGCATAATGTTGACACCGTTCTGCTGTAGGAAGTCCCATGTAGCTCTGGCAGTATGGGCCCAGGCGTTATCATGCTGGAAAATGTTGTTCCGGTGACGTGCGAAATGTGGTATGACATGGGGTCTGAAAGCTTGGTCGATGTAGCGCACCGCTGTGATGCCGCCTCCTCTCCCTGGACCAAGGTTCTGGAACACCACAGGACCCACTCTCTGGTTCAGGCCTATTCCACCCCATACCATGATGCTTGCACCTCCCCATGAGACTCTTTCCATAACACATTGGTCTGAGTAAAACTGGCCACGTCGTCGCCATATTCTTGTTCTGCCATCTGCAGTTGATACGCAGTACCGGCTCTCATCTGTGAACAGAACAGTTCTCCATTGCCTGTATCCCCAGTTTTGGTGTTGTAGGGCAAACTGTAGACGTTCACGCCGATGACGAGGGGCGAGGATAGGTTCACGGTATGGTCTCGGCAATGGAGGTTCCCGCTGTTAAGACGTCGGCGTACTGTATCTGCACTGATTGGTCTTCCGTGTGTTCCCACTGTCTGGTGTGATGTTTCGGTTGCCTGCATGAAGGGATTCTGTACATGCTGTCGCACAACATGGCGGTCTTGTCGTCTTGTGGTCACCCTTGGTCTGCCAGTAGGGGGACGATCACTTGTGGTGTTGGTGGCCCGGAACGTTGCTGCAGTCTGTAGATGGTCCGAACGTTGACCTGGAAGTGATTGGCAACGGCTTGTGCAGTGTGACCAGCTTTAAGTCTTGCTAGAGCCTGGTTCCTCTGAGCTGTCGTGAGAAGGGGCATCCTGCTGACATTGTAATGTGAATGTTTCAACCAGGTTTATGGTGCATTTTATAGGGCTGGTCCTTGTGAACAGCAAGTGCAGCATGAGTTGCATGAAAAACATGGAGAACACTGTACCATGTCCAAGATCAGGTTGTGTTTTCGAGACCATTTCTAGGGTTCAATTCTGAGTTTGGGAAGGAATGTCTTTGCTTAGGTAAAGTTGGAGATGTTTTCAAAAATAAACAATCAACACATTAAAGGAGTTTACAGTTATCCGTTTCTGCGAAGGAAAATTCTAAACTGACGTTTCTTTTGCTGCTTAGTATATTTCCATAGAGTGCATTGTCATGTTCAGCTTGACCATGCTTTGAACACTGTTTAACCTGAGAATGTCAGAGAAAGTGATGCAGAAAATGTGTAATTTTGACAAACACGCCTGCACAAGTGTGGGGCTGACCAATTAAACCACGAGGTGGACCGGGGAATCAAACGTCCATAGCTAGGAGGCCGAAGGAGGACGAAACTCGGGTCTGCGATTTGGGCCAACAGTGGCCTACTTTGGTCACTGACAATGACATGTAATAACAATAATGATTATCAATAAAATCTGGTGGTAAGGTGGTCCAATGCACTCAAGGGTGGCCCCAGTCATACAAGACGCCCTATCCGTTGTGCAGAGTTTTCGTCCCCCTAGATATCAGGGATCCTATGATTGTTGATCGAATCCCAGTTCCCAACGCCTGGAGCCTGCATCAATTCGGACGTTATTACCAGCATTGAGATGACATGATGTGATAAAACTGGAACGCACTGTTAAACTCGGGGTTAGACTCAACTCCACTCGCTCATTTACACACGGGAATTAATCTCTGTGGACCTAAAATCACAAGATTTTGCAGCCTTGATAATTGGCATAAGTCCCATATTGTTACGGAGATATTATTAGTTACACAGAGTTTTGAAAGCGTGTACAGGACTGTAAGACCCTTGTAAATTCCATTTTCCTGGCGCACCCTTTCGAAACACTGTGTGAAAATATATTACCCTTAAGATCTCTTTAAAAACCATCATTCAATGAAAATAACCAGAAACGACGCTTTATCTTAAAGGTAACAAGAGTTTCGTATGCTTTCAGCTATTGACCAATCATAATTCGACAAAATTGATCTTAAGGGTACTAGCAATCTTTATGTCGAATAAACACGACAAAGGTGTAGATACATGAATTCGTAAATGTAAAACACAATCGAGTCCCCTCGAATCCTTTAGGATCATCGTCACAGTCAGCTAATCCATGACAAAGTTACGTCAAGATTTAAAAGTCTCGTGTGACAGCGACGTTCAGTGAATCTTTTCTTTAATGTCTTGACCAACCGCGATCCCCTTGTATTTTTCATTCGTCGTTACGCTATGAACAAATATCTCACATGAAGGGATTCTGTACATGCTGTCGCACAACATGGCGGTCTTGTCGTCTTGTGGTCACCCTTGGTCTGCCAGTACGGGCACGATCATTTGTGGTGTTGGTGGCCCGGAAACGTTGCTGCAGCCTGTAGATGGTCCGAACGTTGACCTGGAAGTGATTGGCAATGGCTTGTGCAGTGTGACCAGCTTCAAGTCTTCCTAGCGCCTGGTACTTCTGAGCTGTCGTGAGAAGGGGCATCCTGCTGACGTTGTAATGTGAATGTTTCAACCAGGTTTGGGGGTGCATTTAATAGGGCTGGTCCTTGTGAACAGCACGTGCAGCATGAGTTGCATAAAAAACATGGACAACACCGTACCGTCTCCGAGATCAAGTTGCGTTTTTGAGACCATTTCCTGGCTTCAATTCTGAGTTTGGGAAGGAATGTCTTTGCTCAGGTAAAGTTGGAGATGTTGTCAAAAATGTACAATCAAAACATTAAAGGAGTTTACAGTTATCCGTTTCTGCAAAGGAGAATTCCAAACTGACGTTTCTTTTGCTGCTTAGTATATTTCCATAGAGTGCATTGTCATGTTCCGCTTGACCATGCTTTGAACACTGTTTAACTAAGAATGTCAGAGAAAAGCCCGAAGTGATGCAGAAAATGTGTAATTTTGACAAACACGCTTGCACAAGTGTGGGGCTGACCAATTAAACCACGAGGGTGGACCAGGGAATCCAAACGTCCATAGCTAGGAGGCCGAAGGGACGAAACTCGGGTCTGCGATTTGGGCCAACAGTGGCCTACTTTGGTCACTGACAATGACATGTAATAACAATAATGATTATCATAAAAATCTGGTCATAAGGTGGTCCAATGCACTCAAGGGTGGCCCAGTCATACAAGACGCCCTATCCGTTGTGCAGAGTTTCGTCCCCTGTAGATATCCGGATCCTATGATTGTTGATCCGAATACCAGTTCCCAACGCCTGAGGCCTGCATCAATTCGGACGTTATTACCAGCATTGAGATGACATGATGTGATAAAACTGGAACACTGTTAAACTCGGGGTTAGACTCAACTCACTCGCTCATTTACACACACAGTGGACCTAAAATCACAAGATTTTGCAGCTTTGATAATTGGCATAAGTCCCATATTGTTACGGAGATATTATTAGTTACACAGAGTTTTGAAAGCGTGTACAGGACTGTAAGACCCTTGTAAATTCCATTTTTCCTGTGGCGCACCCTTTCGAAACACTGTGTGAAAATGTATTACCCTTAAGCTCTCTTTAAAAACCATCATTCAATAGAAAATAACCAAAACGACGCTTTATCTTAAAGGTAACAAGGTTTCGTATGCTTTAGCTATTGACCAATCATAATTCGACAAATTGATCTTAAGGGTAATAGCAATCTTTATGTCGAATAAACACAACAAAGGTAGATACATGAATTCGTAAATGTAAAACACAAATCGAGTCCCCTCAAAACCTTTAGGATCATCGTCACACAGTCGCTAATCCATGACAAAGTTACGTCAAGATTTTAAAAGTCTCGTGTGACAGCGACGTTTCAGTGAATGTCTTCTGTTAATGTCTTGACCAACGATCCCCTTGTATTTCATTCGTCGTTACGCTATGAAATATCTCAATGTGTAAAACCATTCATTGTGAGATGGAATGTCCTGCTAATGGTAAATAAATCCACTCCGTTCCTGATCACACGTGCGTCTCATTCCCAGAGCTTCAAACAAACCTCGATCGAGTCTTTATCGGAGAGACGATTGGGTTTAAATGCGCCATCACAGACGACAGTTTGCTTGTCAACTCCTCCGCTATCTGGATACGACGTCCAAACACCAACACGTCCATCGGCAGGGTTGTGAACCAGACGGTGACGTCGGCGACGATAGAGGTGAAGGTGACGTCACCCTCTGACGCCGGCATGTACTACTGTACCCTGTCCACCCCGGGTGGAGACTTTGGCCTGGGGTATGCGTCGGTTGAAGTGGACTGTAAGTAAAGGCCAACCAATACACAAAAATCGCACTTTAATAAATTTAATTTACTATAATTTAAACGGATTTTTCTTCAAAACATTATTTTAACCCGCACGAAACTTAAGTTTCGCAATTTCACAAGATCGAAATGTTCCGCTACTAGTTTATTAAAAAATACATCTAAGCAGAAGTTTTATTGGTCTTTTGGTTCCTATGGAATCGTTATGAATATTTACTTAGCGACAAGAGAAATACTAGAGATACGTCCGTGATAAGTCTTTTGTTGTTACCTTGTTGTGGTCAGATCCCCTAGCTGCAGTGACGAGCTTGAACTGCACCACCCAGTCTCAGCAACTCCAGTGTTCCTACAACCTACCCCGAGACTACCTCTATCCGGAAAACATCACCGGTCGGGTGTCTTACCACGGGTGCGTTACTCCTACCCCGAGACTACCTCCACCCACAACACATCACCGGTCGGGTGTCTTACCAGGGGTGCGTTACTCCCTACCCCGAGACTACCTCCACCCACAACACATCACCGGTCGGTGTCTTACCACGGGTGAGTTACTCCCTACCCCGAGACTACCTCCACCCACAACACATCACCGGTCGGGTGTCTTACCACGGGTGAGTTACTCCCTACCCCGAGACTACCTCCACCCACAACACATCACCGGTCGGGTGTCTTACCACGGGTGAGTTACTCCCTACCCCGAGACTACCTCCACCACAACACATCACCGGTCGGGTGTCTTACCACGGGTGAGTTACTCCCTACTTACCCGAGACTACCTCCACCCACAACACATCACCGTCTTACCACTGGTGAGTTACTCCCTACGCCGAGTGGTCGGGATTAGTCTTACCACGGGTGAGTTACTCCCACAACACATCACCGGCCGGGTGTCTTACCACAGGTGAGTTACTCCCTACCCCGAGACTACCTCCACCACAACACATCACCGGCCGGGTGTCTTACCACAGGTGAGTTACTCCCTACCCCGAGACTACCTCCACCCGCAACACATCACCGGCCGGGTGTCTTACGACGGGTGCGTTACTGTCACCCGATCCCGTTTGTCGTTAGTCATATGTGTATATGTAAACCTGAGTTTAATGGTGTGTAAAGCCCGTTCCAGGCCTTACCGAAGAAGAAATAATTCCTAATAATTCCTAAACATTTTACTGTAGTCATAAAATATCTTTGCTAAAAGAACATTCCCCTTCACCATGAGCATAAGTATCATTCGTTACCACTCGCCCCTTTCCGTAACCTCCAAGAAGACTCGTCCCCCTATTTAACTCAAATGCTCAGTTTGAGAAGTGGTGGTTTCAGCATTTTTATAACAGAATGTGGGTGCACGTTAAAGTAGACAGAATTAATCGTGTAACATACTGGAGTATATGTAACTTTGTGGGGTATGGATCCAGGTCAGAAGCGTCTGTTGAAACTGGCACGAACAGATCCTTCTCACTGCCGCCTGGATCTGACCTGTATACGCTGTACGACTTCCAAGTACAGCTCCTGTACAGCGGACGAAATGTGACCTCGACGTCTGAACTCTTCCACGTCAACCCGATGGATGTAGGTGAGAAACATTGTAAAATAGTACAGAATGGTCAGTCGACCGCGTAGACAACAACCAAGGGACGATAACTCTAAAAACACAGTATTCGATATTTTACGAGCACTTCATATGTTTGCCGCCACTGACAATGAGTGCAAGCAATTGAACAACAGTTTCTACTACCACAGAACACACGTGAATGCCTGTAATATACACATTCAGAAACAAGCAATGGTTGGGTATCAGGTTTCTTTATAGTTCTATGTAACTGTTGTTGGCTTGTGTTTGTTCCTACAGTGTTATACTTCTGTCTAACTGTTGTTGGCTTGTGTTTGTTCCTACAGTGTTATAGTTCTGTGTAACTGTTGTTGGCTTGTGTTAGTTCCTGCAATGTTATAGTTCTAACTGTTGTTGGCTTGTGTTAGTTCCTGCAATGTTATAGTTCTATGTAACTGTTGTTGGCTTGTGTTAGTTCCTGCAATGTTATAGTTCTCTAACTGTTGCTTGGCTTGTGTGAGTTCCTGCAATGTTATAGTTCTGTGTAACTGTTGTTGGCTGTGTTAGTTCCTGCAATGTTATAGTTCTATGTAACTGTTGTTGGTTTGTTTAGTTCCTGCAATGTTAACTGTGTGTTGGCTTGTGTTAGTTCCTGCAATGTTATAGTTCTATGTAACTGTTGTTGGCTTGTGTTAGTTCCTGCAATGTTATAGTTCTATGTAACTGTTGTTGGCTTGTGTTAGTTCCTGCAATGTTATAGTTCTATGTAACTGTTGTTGGCTTGTGTTAGTTCCTGCAATGTTATAGTTCTATGTAACTGTTGTTATTTGTGTTAGTTCCTGCAATGTTATAGTTCTATGTAACTGTTGTTGGCTTGTGTTAGTTCCTGCAATGTTATAGTTCTATGTAACTGTTGGCTTGTGTTAGTTCCTGCAATGTTATAGTTCTATATAACTGCAATGTTATAATGTTCTATTATATAACTGTTGTTGGCTTGTGTTAGTTCCTGCAATGTTATAGTTCTATGTAACTGTTGTTGGCTTGTGTTAGTTCCTGCAATGTTATAGTTCTATGTAACTGTTGTTGGCTTGTGTTAGTTCCTGCAATGTTATAGTTCTATGTAACTGTTGTTGGCTTGTGTTAGTTCCTGCAATGTTATAGTTCTATGTAACTGTGTTGTTGGTTTGTGTTAGTTCCTGCAATGTTATAGTTCTATAATGTTATAGTTCTGTTGTTGGCTTGTGTTAGTTCCTGCAATGTTATAGTTCTATATAACTGTTGTTGGCTTGTGTTAGTTCCTGCAATGTTATAGTTCTATGTAACTGTTGTTGGCTTGTGTTAGTTCCTGCAATGTTATAGTTCTATGTAACTGTGTAACTGTTGTTGGCTTGTGTTAGTTCCTGCAATGTTATAGTTCTATGTAACTGTTGTTGGCTTGTGTTAGTTCCTGCAATGTTATAGTTCTATGTAACTGTTGTTGGCTTGTGTTAGTTCCTGCAATGTTATAGTTCTATGTAACTGTTGCTGGCTTGTGTTAGTTCCTGCAATGTTATAGTTCTATGTAACTGTTGTTGGCTTGTGTTAGTTCCTGCAATGTTATAGTTCTATGTAACTGTTGTTGGCTTGTATTAGTTCCTGCAATGTTATAGTTCTATGTAACTGTTGTTGGCTTGTGTTAGTTCCTGCAATGTTATAGTTCTATGTAACTGTTGTTGGCTTGTGTTAGTTCCTGCAATGTTATAGTTCTATGTAACTGTTGTTGGCTTGTATTTGTTCCTGCAATGTTATAGTTCTATGTAACTGTTGTTGGCTTGTATTTGTTCCTGCAATGTTATAGTTCTATGTAACTGTTGTTGGCTTGTATTTGTTCCTGCAATGTTATAGTTCTATGTAACTGTTGTTGGCTTGTATTTGTTCCTGCAATGTTATAGTTCTATGTAACTGTTGTTGGCTTGTATTTGTTCCTGCAATGTTATAGTTCTATGTTACAGTCATCCCCAAAGCAGTCAGGGGTGTTGTTGTCAGAAATACGACAGCGCGGACTCTACAGTTGTCTTGGCAACCACCTGATGATGCACTTACGTATACGTTTCGAGTCACGTGTTTGGTTGAGTGGGACAACGATGAACAGGTGCGTCAAACGAACTTGAAGCTTATTTATTGATTGACTTCATCCTCGAAGTGTTTTTAACGATCCTAGGTCCCGATCCACAAAACTTTCGTGGCGCTACGACATTCGTAAGCCTATGATAAACTATAAAGTTACGACAAGTCGTAACGTTACGAACGCTTTGTGGATCCGGACCCTGATGAGATGGTACGTTGGTGAAGTGGTTCTGACGTTCACGAGTAAAACGTGATTCAATCGCTCAAGACCCTGCACATAGTCGGGTGGGCAGCAGAGCCCTTATTCTCGAAACGTTCGTAGCCCTAAGAATTCTTAACTTTGATCGTAGCCCATGTGTTAAGAATGGGCTTAAGAAGTTCGTAGGGCTACGAACGTTTCGAGAATAGCTAGCCAGGATCTTGCGTTTCTTGTCTTTTCTTTTAGCACCAAAAACAAATACGGATAGCTTTGTGTTTTTTACACTATGCTATTGTTTGGTCATCATTAGCAAATGTGAGAACTGAAGAGTAAGTTTGGCACTCCACATAAAGCGGTGCAATTCCCTGTAAAATTTCTGTCTCTAAGTACTGAGATAAACGGAGGTCAACTTAGATCAACTCTTAACTATGTTTTTGATTTTCATTACAAAACTTAGCCACTGGATCTTCAATAAATCCCTTATCTTTAATTTCAGATACACAGCATTCAAACGGACCTTACCCAGACAAACTTGTCGAGCCTGAGTCCATCAACTAATTATACCATCAACGTGCAGTGTCGAGAACGTCATCGCCAGGATGGTTACTGGAGTTATGGATCCGTCATGACTGTAAAGACGCTGGACGCCGGTAGGTGGCAGTCATGTAGGCTCAGGGTGATACTATTGCTGCCAAGACGCTGGACGCCGGTAGGTGGCAGTCATGTAGGCTCAGGGTGATACTATTGCTGCCAAGACGCTGGACGCCGGTAGGTGGCTCAGGGTGATACTATTGCTGCCAAGACGCTGGACGCCGGTAGGTGGCAGACATGTAGGCTCAGGGTGATACTGTTGCTGCCAAGACGCTGGACGCCGGTAGGTGGCAGATATGTAGGCTCAGGGTGATACTGTTGCTGCCAGGAGGTAGTGCCATGGATCGTATTTCGGCGGCGCTGATTTCTGGTTGTAACCAATATGTTGACTACCCGTTTATCCAGACAGATGTTTTGTAACACACCGCTTCAAAAATTTCATCCCTCAAGTTAAAACATATCAACAATGCGTTGATTCTGAATTACTTGGCTTTTAGTTCCAGGAAGAGCACCACGTGTATCACCTGCCGTGTCTGGAGCTGTTGATGGGAGGGTTGTACTCTACTGGCAGGTAGGTAGAAGAGCCGTGTCTGGAACTGTTGATGGGAGGGTTATACTCTACTGGCAGGTAGGTAGAAGAGCCGTGTCTGAAGCTGTTGATGGGAGGGTTATACTCTACTGGCAGGTAGGTAGAAGAGTCGTATCTGGAACTGTTCATGGGAGGGTTGTACTCTACTGGCAGGTAGGTAGAAGAGCCGTGTCTGTAACTGTTGATGTGAGAGTTATACTCTACTAGCAGGTAGGTAGAAGAGCCTTTTCAGCATCACGACCATAGTGATACCGGCTATCACAAGTGCGATTTTAACCAATGGGAGTTATTGATTCAAGGCATTGAAAACAGTATACATGGTTTTGGCAGTCATCATAAACAAAAAAGAAGAAATATCACCATGTCATCGTTGGGAGAGATTGATAGCTCCGGGGTTTATGGGATCCACTGAAGGTATACACATGACCATGTCCACAGCTTCTGTCGCCCAAGGAGGAGAACGGGGAGATGCAAGGCTACAGCGTCCAGTGTGAAGATGAGGGGGAGAGACGTGTTGGTCCCGGGAGGTTCTCAGCGACGATGGACATTCCCACTGACCGGCGTGGACTGTGGTGTGACGTGTCCGCGGTCAACAACGTCGGGATGTCGCCCTCGTCGTCCCTGTATATACCATCACGGAGGTCAGGTAAGAACTTGTCGCCCCTGTACATATCATCAATAGGTCAGGTTAGACCACCACAACGCAGGTCTGATCAGGGAACTCATGTGTCGGACATGTTGTTTGTATGTTTGATAGTTCTGGTGACCGGACAAAATCCACCCCAAAATTGCCACCCCGGACAAAATCCACCTCTTCTTAACAAAAAAATGGACAAAATCCACCCTTCTCAAATTGCGTCGGCCGTTGTTTGCGTTTTTTTAAATGTGGCAAGATGACTAAACATGTCATTAGGTTTTTTTTTCTTAGGGTGGATTTTATTAGGGGTGGATTTTGTCCGGGGTGGATTTTGTCCGGGTGGATTTTGTCCTAGGTTGCAGTTTTGGGGTGGATTTTGTCCGGGTGGATTTTATCCTGGATTCGATAGTTCTATATTGCTCAGACACGGTTTCTAGGTTTTTGACATGCTATCTTGTGGTATAGTACATAATATGCTGTTTGGTATCTGTATATAGTATGTGCGGACTGGGTGTGTCTCGCTATGTACAGTTGCGGTGTAGGGTTTTACTATGTAGGGGTGCTGTATTTCAGAGCTGACCCTGCGGGACTTCTGGGTGGCGGGTGGAGAGGGTGACACCAACATCACCTTCCTCTGGGACTCGGGGGGTCGGGAACAGCACAACTGTACAGCGTATTGGTGTCAGACAGCAGACCTGACGAACTTGTGTCAGGTGAGCGACACAACCAGACACAATAACACAACACAGCCAGACACAATAACACAACACAGGATCACACAGCATAGAGAATCCAATGCAGCATATCTGATCACAAGGCACAGCACAGCACAACCAAAACACAATACTGTGAGCACAACTCTGTAAGCACAACATATCACAACACTGAGTGCAGTACAACACGATTATAAGCACGCATATTTATCTGCTGGCAGTATGTGTGTGAAAAACAGTCCTATTTAAACATATCTACCGAGGAGCATGACAAGGCGTGCAGGTCCGGCTTCATTTTAAAAGACTTTCAACTTTCAGGCCTCGGTTCAGTGGGAGACCGTGTCTTGTGACCAACGGAATCTGACCTTCGATACCGGTCACGTGATAGCTAACCAGCGCCTCATGGTGGGCTTCTCAGCGCAGTTGTCTGCCCCTGGAGGTCCAGTCTGGACCTCCATCAAGTGGGATCATTGTGTCTATGCACAACACAAAGGTAAGGTGTAATATATACTACCAACAAAAAGTAAGGGAACTGATGAAATGACAGTGAATGTGAAATTGCTCTGAATGTCCACAAAATCAAATGTGGGCGTAAAGTTCAATATCTGGTGTGTCCACCATGTTGGGCAACACATTCACGACGCCTTGATGGCATACTGTTGATTAATTTCCGGATGGTTGCCCGTGGTATTGCCCAAAGAGCTGCACCAAGCTGGGCCAGATTGATGGATGCGGGGTCCCAGGCATACACCCTCCGACCGAGAACGTCCCACAGATGCTCAATTGGGGACATGTCTGGGGACTTAGAGGGCCAGTCCAATGTCTGTAAGTCCTCTTGTCAGAGATAAGCGCTGACAACTTGGGCACGATGTGGTCTGGCATTATCGTCTTGGAATTGAAAATTCCTGCCGATAATTCTAGCCAGTGGAGCCATGACAGGATGCAAAATTTCGTCAACGTATCGCTGACCAGTCAAGGATCCATTAACGATGACCAGATCTGATCGCCTGTCATGTGTAATATCGCCCCACACCATGACACTAACACCCCCATATCGATCATGGTCAATAATTGCCGCTCTGGCATACCGCTCACCGCTACGGCGCCAACAACGTTTTCTGCCATCTGTGAATCTGAGGCAAAACCTTGACTCATCTGAGAACATGGTGTAACGCCAATGGCGCAAAGCCCGTCCCTGATGCTGCCTAGCCCATGCAAATCTTTGGCGCCTATGGTGAGCTGTAAGGGTAACACCCTTGAAAGGCCGCCTTGCTTTCAGACGTGCTTGATAGAGCACAGTGAGTGTACGGAATTCCCTGTTGATGGCAGGTGCTGATTTGAACCTATTGCGTAGGGCCATTTATGTAATGAGACGATCCTGTCGTGATGTCGTTGATTTTGGTCTGCCACGCCCAGGTCTCATTGCAACCCCACCTGTTTGACGGTACTTGTCCCACAGGCGTGAAATTACACTTTTTGATTTACCCAACATTCGGGCAACTTGACACAGTGATGTCCCCCCCTCTATCATCACCACAATTCTCCATTTTGTTTGTTCATTGAGATAATCATACTGCCTCGGAGACATTTTTCAGCATGCGTTCAACTCTCTTGCATTAGTGATTGTGAGTTCTCCAATACGTTGACAGAGATTGACTTCTGTGTGCACGTACGCGTGCATCACGTGTTGGTAATGCATCATGTGGAGTTTCATTGTCATTGGATGTTGCGTTCGGGTGCAACGCTACGGTAACGCACCCTTTCACCTCTACGCTTGCTGCATTCAATTTCTAAGTTCCCTTATTTTTGGTCGATAGTATATATATATATATACTTAGAGAAAAAAAATGAGATCGCATAAAATTTCAGAATTTAATCACGTCAAATATAACAGACTTGAGTCATTGTTTATGGTATAAATGAAGGTCAGTATCGGGCCCCCTTCTCTCGACACTGTCTGGCAACGTCTGGGCATTCTTCCAATCAGTGTCCTCATTGTATATATAAATGTCCTTTATTTTTCCTTGAGTATATAGGATTTTATATATTGGCAGTAACGGCCAGTGTGATGGTAACAGATTAGTAAAACGCGTTTTCCTCATATTTGGACTTGCTTTGTCTGTTAGAGATGAGGCCTTTTTAGCATTCATAATTCCAGCCTTTAACGTGGACAAAATTTCCCAATATTTTGGCAATGATGGCTGATGATTTTCTATTTTCATATACTCTGTTGTTTATTCATGTTGACACTTTACTTGCCGCTGCATGTGTTTGTGATGATTGCCACTGTGGAACAGGGTAAGCTCTTTAAGCTGGTGTTGTACACCAGGCACAATCACTACTTGACAGCCACATGCTTATGAATCGTACGGTGATTTGAATATTGACGAGGGTGTGGGGAAATGGCGTTTAACGTGCTGTTACAGAATGTTTCACGTGCGGAGCGATGATCAGGCCTGTCTGGTGTTGCTGCTTGTACTGGTCCAGACTAATGCTGGCTTTATGGTATTTGCCCACTGAGATACCAAGCTACAATTTTAAGTACGCGGATTCTCGTCGACCAGTCCTGGATGTATTTCGTAAATGCTGAAATCACAAGCACCATCAGTTAACGTCTTTTGTATCACGTTGCCGGGATAAAACCACCAATATTCCGCTTTCGGCAAGCGCTCTGTCTGCTAGACCATGGTGAATAGACGTCGTGTGTGTTTTTCGCACGGGTGGCTTCCTCTTGCACCTGTGAGTCATTTAGAGCAGTACCTCTTGTCGATTGGAAAAACGCCAAAATATACGCCAGTTTACACTGTAGCATTTCAAACTTCATAGTCATCACACGATCATCAGGGATATTCATAACGGCTCAGTTCACTTTGTCTATTAGCATATCACTGCCTCATGAATATTCATAGGACTTCAAGCGAAGGATCGATTGTTATGTAAAAACGTATCAATTAACATTAAAAAAACACTACAACACGATGAGTTGAGTTCGTGTCAAAGTTTGAAATGACCTTTGCAGTCCCTCCAGCCCCCGATGGGTTCCGACTTTCCACGAGTCAGCCCCCTCTGAGTGTGCACGTGGAGTGGAGACCCTCTGACTGTCGACAGAACCTCGCCCACATCACCAGTTACCTCCTGTCATACTGCCCGCTGTCAGGGACTGCTGACCGCTGTTCAGGTGAGCCTTGTGTAGTCTTTAGGACTCTTCAGGTGAGCTTTGTGTGACCTTCAGGATATGTTCAGGTGAGCTTTGTGTGACCTTCAGAACTCTTCAGGTGAGCGTTGTGTGGCGTAATGGACTGTGCAGGTGAGCGTTGTGTGACCTTAAGGACTGTTCAGGTGAGCGTTGTGTGATCTTCAGGACTGTTCAGGTGAGCTTTTTGTAACCCTCAGGACTGTTCAGGTAAGGTCTGTGTGACTTTCAGGACTGTTCAGGTGAGCTTTGTGTGACCTTCAGGACTGTTCAGGTGAGCGTTGTGTGACCTTCAGGACTGTTCAGGTGAGCTTTGTGTGACCTTCAGGACTGTTCAGGTGAGCGTTGTGTGACCTTCAGGACGTTCAGGTGACTGTTTCAGGACTGTGCAGGTGAGCTTTGTGTGACCTTCAGGACTGTTCAGGTGAGGTCTGTGTGACCTTCAGGACTGTGCAGGTGAGCTTTGTGTGACCTTCAGGACTGTGCAGGTGAGCTTTGTGTGACCTTCAGGACTGTTCAGGTGAGCTTTGTGTGACCTTCAGGACTGTTCAGGTGAGCTTTGTGTGACCTTCAGGACTGTTCAGGTGAGCTTTGTTAGTGAGGACAGGACTCAGGTGAGTTTTTTGTGGCGTTCAGGACTGTTCAGGTGAGCGTTGTGTGGCGTATAGGACTGTGCAGGTGAGCGTTGTGTGGCGTATAGGACTGTGCAGGTGAGGTTTGTGTGACCTTCAGGACTGTTCAGGTGAGCGTTGTGCGACCTTCAGGACTGTTCATGTGAGGTTTGTGTTACCTTCAGGACTGTGCAGGTGAGCTTTGTGTGACCTTCAGGACTATGCAGGTGAGCTTTGTGTGACCTTCAGGACTGTTCAGGTGAGCTTTGTGTGGCGTTCAGGGCTGTTCAGGTGAGCATTGTATGGCCTTCAGGACTGTTCAGGTGAGCTTTGTGTGGCCTTCAGGACTGTTCAGGTGAGCTTTGTGTGACCTTCAGGACTGTTCAGGTGAGCTTTGTGTGACGTTCAGGACTGTTCAGGTGAGCTTTGTGTGACCTTAAGGACTGTTCAGGTGAGCATTGTGTGACCTTCAGGACTGTTCAGGTGAGCTTTGTGTGGCCTTAAGGACTGTTCAGGTGAGCTTTGTGTGACCTTCAGGACTGTTCAGGTAAGGTCTGTGTGGCGTTCAGGACTGTTCAAGTGAGCTTTGTGTGACTTTCAGGACTGTTCAGGTGAGCGTTGTGTGGCCTTCAGGACTGTTCAGGTGAGCTTTGTGTGACCTTCAGGACTGTTCAGGTGAGCTTTGTGTGACCTTCAGGACTGTTCAGATGAGCGTTGTGTGGCCTTCAGGACTGTTCAGGTGAGCTTTGTGTGACCTTCAGGACTGTTCAGGTGAGCTTTATGTGACTTTCAGGACTGTTCAGGTGAGCTTTGTGTGACCTTCAGGACTGTTCAGGTTAGCTTTGTGTGACTTTCAGGACTGTTCAGGTGAGCTTTATGTGACTTTCAGGTCTGTTCAGGTGAGCTTTGTGTGACCTTCAGGACTGTTCAGGTGAGCTTTGTGTGACCTTCAGGACTGTTCAGGTGAGCTTTGTGTGACTTTCAGGACTGTTCAGGTGAGCTTTATGTGACCTTCAGGACTGTTCAGGTGAGCTTTGTGTGACCTTCAGGACTGTTCAGGTGAGCTTTATGTGACCTTCAGGACTGTTCAGGTGAGCTTTGTGTGACTTTCAGGACTGTTCAGGTGAGCTTTATGTGACCTTCAGGACTGTTCAGGTTAGCTTTATGTGACCTTCAGGACTGTTCAGGTGAGCTTTATGTGACCTTCAGGACTGTTCAGGTGAGCTTTGTGTGACTTTCAGGACTGTTCAGGTAAGCTTTATGTGACCTTCAGGACTGTTCAGGTTAGCTTTGTGTGGCCTTAAGGACTGTTCAGGTGAGCTTTATGTGACCTTCAGGACTGTTCAGGTAAGGTCTGTGTGACCTTCAGGACTGTTCAGGTTAGCTTTATGTGACTTTCAGGACTGTTCAGGTGAGCTTTATGTGACCTTCAGGACTGTTCAGGTAAGGTCTGTGTGATCTTCAGGACTGTTCAGGTGAGCTTTGTGTGACCTTCAGGTGAGCGTTGTGTGGCGTTCAGGACTGTTCAGGTGAGCTCTGTGTGGCGTTCAGGACTGTTCAGGTGAGCTCTGTGTGGCGTTCAAGACTGTTCAGGTTAGCTTTGAGCAAGTATAACTTTGCAAAGATTATGTAATGGAATTACTCAAACAAATTACTGTTGTACCTGTGGAAAACAATTACCTGTGATGTTCTTAAAGAAATGTCTGTCAGTCTTCAAGCGAACTCACAGCCTCTAAGGGTGATGGTTGGGGAGGAAACTAACATGCCTCTCCTTCCACTGTTAGACTGACTGACTGACTGACTGAGTTTAGTTTTACGCCGCTTTTAGCAATATTCCAGCAACATCACGGCGGTAGACACCAGAAATGGGCTTCACACATTGTACCCATGTGGGGATTCGAACCCGGGTCTCCGGCGTGACGAGCCAACGCTTTAACCACTAGGTTACCCCACCGCCCCTCCACTGTTAGAGTGCAATAACTGACGTATTATATACATGAGTATATGCCGTTGTGAAGAATGACATTTACCTGAATATTTTAAACCCTCCACAGGCTCCAGAGGGAGCAGAGTGGTGGACAGTGATGCCGTCAGTTACCTCATCCGCAACCTTGAGCCAGGAGCCCACTACAAGGTCAAAATCCGGGCGGTGTCCCAGGACCTCAAAGGTCCTTGGAGTGCTCCTGTCAAAGGACGAGTCGAGGAGGGTAACACTTTTCTGTAATATCATCTCTAGTCTACGAGTATATGCCATGTGTCCAGATGAACATATTAGAATAGCATTCTTCTACATATGAAATATATTAACAAGAACATTTTCACCATTTAAACCTTCATTTCGAAGTGAATTATTTTTACATTGCATAACAGTTAAATCAGTGTTGGCCCTAGGTATAAAAATTTAGGAGTCATCATGACTCCCTGATGTCATGAGAGTCACCTCTATTCCTTTTAAAGAGAAGAATCTCAGATATATAAGCAATATAACGAATATTCCTATTTTTGCAGAACTTCAACCGTTGAAGATAGTCCTTCCAGTCAGTGCATGTCTTTTACTTCTTGTAGGCATTCTCTGTGGCCTGCTTCTTAAGAGGTCAGTATATGTCTTCAGCTGACTTGGCTGAGACCAGGCACGTATAGCTGGTGTCTGGCGTGAAAAAGGAGATACCGTTAAGTTTTGTCCGAATTTCAGTAATTTCTACATTTTTTGTCAATTAACAATGAAAGTGCTGTGATAATGTTATCATTTGGTATCTTTACTGCGAACGGAATACTGACTGTTACCTGAATGATATGTCAAAAAGGGCGAAATTTACGATGTACCTCATTTTCAACCTATTTTGCTTTGCCTAAAATGACACAGGGTACTATCATACAGCGTCTGGAAAGTGTGTTTGTGTGAGTGATGTATGCTGGATTTTATTCTACTTCACAGTGAAGGTTGAAGAGAGGGATACATATGTCTCACTGTTGGCCCAGAGGGGTAGCCTAGTGGTTAAGGCGTTCGCTCGTCACGCCAAAGACCCCGGTTCGATTCCTAGAATGGGCACAATACGTGAAGCCCATTTCTGGTGTCACCCGCTGTGATATTGTTGGATTATTGCTAAAGGCGGCGTAAAACTAAACTCTCTCACTGTTAGACAGGCGGGTATACTCATGTTTGTTGCGTTGTATGTAGTTGCTCTTACAGTCAACTCACTGTTAAACTGTTGATATGTATTTATGTCTCTCTAAGTTCCGCTGTTAACTTTCCAGAGCAAGACAGTGCTTGAACAAAAGAGAGGAGTTCAGTTATCCATCCATTGTAAGTTGCATCAAGTCATTTGCAATGTTTCTATTAAACTCGAAGATTTCTTCTGTACACAGTGTAAAATTATTCGGTAAACATAACCTCATCCTCCACAATTTAGGTTATTATACGTAGTGACGAATCATCACCAGATTGACAAACACATGGTCATGTGTAGTTTTATTTCCCATTTTGCAACTCTGTCTTTAATACTTACTTAACGTAATGAGCAAGTTCGTAGGAAAGAAAGTGATGTAGAGTTAGAAACTGGTCATTTATAACAGAGGGTATTTGGGGTCGAGGAAGGGAGGTGTCACCCCCAACGTATACCAGTCTCCAGGGACGGTTCACCAGCAAATTATACTTTCTGCGGAGGGTCATACAAATAGTACATATAGCTGGAGAGGCCATGAGAGGGAAGTTAAATATTTTCAAAATCCTGCATCTCAACCCCATCCCTGAAACACATACACAGGCTCTTATACTTCTCGGTGAACAAATTAGAAATGTACGTTGTGTCCTGCAGCGTGGCATGGACGACTCGACCAGGCTGCCAAACACAGAGTCAGAGAGGGGTAGCTGCCAAGAGACTGGACGTGTTTCAACAGGAAAGTCAAGCCCGGAATCAGTTCAGTGTGAAGTCACTGAAGGTAATGGATCTGAAGCGTCTGACGAGAAACAGGAAGGGTTTACATACACCTGGAGTTACGGCTCCACCCCCAACTCCTTCTACAGTGTGGTGGCTAGAGCTGTATGTCCAGACCTGTCTGACCCATATGTGCGACATGAGGTGTGGGGGACGACACTGGGGGGACAGGTCACTGGCACTACCGTCACAGATACTGGTTGTGAGTAACATTGGGTGGACATGTCACTAAATGGGAGAAGGGGGTGATTGATTGGTCGTGCACCTGTTTGGCATCAGTCAAGGACTACGTGAAGGTGGTGAAAAAATGTTGGACATGGGTCAAGGACTGGGCCAGAAAGACAAGCTTTAGGACGTGGGTCAGGGATTAGACGAGGCAATTAAGGTTGTTGAACATGGAACAGAGACACGTTGAGGGCAGTTAATGTTGTTGAACATGGAACAGAGACAAGTTGAGGGCAGTTAATGTTGTTGAACATGGAACAGAAACAAGCTGAGGACAGTTAAGTTAGTTGCCTCAACTAGTTTCTGATCCATGTCCAACACCATTAACTGTCCTCAACTAGGTGAGAGGACAAGAACGATGGATGCTGGACTTGGGCCAGACTGTGACTGGGGGTTCCAATGATGATGGATGGGATGGAGTATGTTGAGGAAGTTCACAGATCACGTGAGCTGAGAGATCTTCATGGAATCATCGGGAAGGCCTCTGGACTGATGCATTGTCACTGGAGAAGTTCTTATTTGTACAAGACTGAACAGAAGGAAGTAGTGTTCTGAAGTGAGCTTACATCACTCCATCGTATTGGACGTTTCCAGAGACTAGTTCTGAGTGAAGGTGGTTTGTGTCCAAGCTATATGTACAGATACCATGGAGGATTGCCTGTGTAGATGACACAGAACACTTACAATTTATCATGAAACGAAGGAAACCACACAATTCATTCTACAACATAACCTTTTTCACAATTAATTATAGAAGACGCTCTCACAATTCACACTCACAATTCATTATAGAAGACGCTCTCACAATTCATAATAGAAGACGCTCTCACAATTCATTATAGAAGACGCTCTCACAATTCATTATAGAAGACGCTCTCACAATTCATTATAGAAGACGCTCTCACAATTCATTATAGAAGACGCTCTCACAATTCATTATAGAAGACGCTCTCACAATTCACAATTATTAGAAGACGCTCTCTCACAATTCATTATAGAAGACGCTCTCACAATTCATTATAGAAGACGCTCTCTTCACATTCATTATTATAGAAGACGCATCTCACAGATTCATTCATTATAGAAGACGGCTCTCACAATTCTTATACAAGACACTCTCACAATTCATTATAGAAGACGCTCTCACAATTCATTATAGAAGACGCTCACAATTCACAATCACATTCATTATAGAGACGCTCTCACAATTCATTATAGAAGACGCTCTCACAATTCATTACAGAAGACGCTCTCACAATTCATTATAGAAGACGCTCTCACAATTCATTATAGAAGACGCTCTCACAATTCATTATAGAAGACGCTCTCACAATTCATTATAGAAGACGCTCTCACAATTCATTATAGAAGACGCTCTCACAATTCATTATAGAAGACGGCTCATTATAGAAGACACTCACAATTCATTATAGAAGACGCTCTCACAATTCATTACAGATTACAGAAGACGCTCTCACAATTCATTATAGAAGACGCGGCTCTCACAATTCATTATAGAAGACGCTCTCACAATTCATTATAGAAGACGCTCACAATTCATTATAATTCATTTATAGAAGACGCTCTCACAATTCATTATAGAAGACGCTCTCACAATTCATTATAGAAGACGCCTCACAATTCATTATAGAAGACGCTCTCACAATTCATTACAGAAGACGCTCTCACAATTCATTAGAGAACAATTCATTTCATTATAGAAGACGCTCTCACAATTCATTATAGAAGACGCTCTCACAATTCATTATAGAAGACGCCTCTCACAATTCATTATAGAAGACGGCTCTCACAATTCATTATAGAAGACGCTCTCACAATTCATTATAGAAGACGGAAGGCGGCTCTCACAATTCATTATAGAAGACGGCTCTCACAATTCATTATAGAAGACGCTCTCACAATTCATTATAGAAGACGCTCTCACAATTCATTATAGAAGACGGCTCTCACAATTCATTATAGAAGACGCTCTCACAATTCATTATAGAAGACGCTCTCACAATTCATTATAGAAGACGCTCTCACAATTCATTATAGAAGACGCTCTCACAATTCATTATAGAAGACGCTCTCACAGAAGGCGCTCTCACAATTCATTATAGAAGACGCTCTCACAATTCATTATAGAAGACGCTCTCACAATTCATTATAGAAGACGCTCTCACAATTCATTATAGAAGACGCTCTCACAATTCATTATAGAAGACGCTCAGATGCTCTCACAATTCATTACAGAAGACGCGAAGCTCTCACAATTCATTATAGAAGACGCTTCATCATTATAGAAGACGCACTTCACAATTCATTATAGAAGACGCTCACAATCATTATAGAAGACAATTCATTATAGAAGAACAATTCATTATAGAAGACGCTCTCACAATTCATGAACACAGACACTCATCAGCGTTTACAACATTTATTTCAGATTTGTACATTCTACCAATATTCATGCTACAGGCAACTGAATGTGTTCATTAGACCTGGGCAGTGTTTTCCTTGTTAACAGGTTGCCTCGTAAAAGTCACACAAGCTACAAAAAGGTATCTCAAAAACCAGTGTTTCCGATTACAGCTTCATCTGCCAGTCATGTTGGCCAGTAGCAAATGAAAATACCATATGAATGAAAATGAAATAGAAACATTGTCCCTTGTTGATTCAGTGTCATTGTATATGTGTCAAGTGTTGACATGCAGCTGAAAAGGTTGAGGCTCACATATTCAGTAGCACCAGAATGTTCAAATGTCTTATACCACTTCCGGTAACTCGACAGAGATTCGTTAAATTTACCTCACCTTGCAGGTTATATGTTGGACTTTCTCCAAAGATTTGACCATAACATTGTCTGCTTCTGACCCAACATCCCAAGTATGCAATCAGAATAGATCGTTATTTAACCATGCGAGTGAAGTTAGTGATGTATATCAAGATAACAAATATTGCCTACAAAATCCAAATGGAAACATTTGATGTGCTATCATGCATTTAATGATTGGTCGAAACTCTGTGCTTATGGTAGTAATGGATGTTCCATTTATGTTACTGAAAATAGACATATAAATGATTTAATATGTACAGTGATATGATATGCATTTTCTATGAAAACTTCTGTCGGAAACAAGGACCGTCAACCCTCAGATTGCCTGGGTCTCCTTTCCCAAAGCACCAAGGTGATCGTAAGTCACTAAAGTAAACTCCCAAAGAATGGGAGTTAAGGTTAACTTCAGTAAAGGATGCTTCGTGAAAGGATCCCTGATCAATATCCAGGTTATATCAGAGAACGGAAACACTGATCATGATGTGGTTTCAAAAATACCTCTTCACATACAGTACAACAACAAGCTTACAGGCAGAACACAGCAAGCAAATCATCATGTGTGGATATTTAGTGTTTAAAGCTGTAGTTCAGTCTTCTCGAGCGTCAAATCAACAAGCAGATAACACCCAAACACAAGTTAAACCAGAAGAAATTATATCCCACAATAAGCAAATTTGGATTCCATGAAGAAAATAACGATCCATATTCTACAGGTTCAAGCTTAGAGTTTTGTTTTCCTTTAATTGTAGTCAAACAAGCATGGAGAACTGCATTTCAGAAGGAGATGCTTTACTTCATTTATTAACAATGGGTGCATGGAATGGTTGTAATTAATGTTATGCATGATGTTAACGAAGACAAACTATTAGAAAAAATACACAAATAAAATCCATGAATATATGGTGAAAAGAGTCTGTCATACACATAATGTTTAGCACCAAAAGACACACGTTTGTTGTAAATCACCGGATTTCCATGATATTTTTGTTACAAATAAAAACAGCTTGGCATTTCAACCAGTCAATTAAAGGGAGATAACCGTTGCAGCAATTGGTCCCTTGCCACATGATCAATCAGCGATGGCAATTTTCTGCTGATCCGCTGATTTCCGCAGATTTTATTTCAAATTGATCATTCTGAACCTGCCATTTGATGACACAATATTAAGTTTTCAGCTGAAAATACTTATGGGCACAAAGTAAATGCACTTTTGGTTTAGATAACAAAGTTGGACAACACAAGGTCATATAGTAAACTCAAACAGCAAACACAAACAGTTATTGCATACTGATAAACATGCATAGACAAATGGTTAAATACCATCTACAGAGGTTCAACGGTTACATCTACCAAAAACATCTTTATCACTACAAGTGCACTGCACTACACTTACAAACAACAAGAGATTCAGCTAACAGTGGGAGGAAAGCCAAATGCTGAGTTGGAGTATGGCATCTGTAGTCACTGGATCCCGACAAGGCAAAGGGACATAACCCAATAACTGCTAGACTGACTGACTGACTGAGTTTGGGTTTATGCCGCTTTTAGCAATATTCCAGCAACATCATGGCGGGGGACACCAGAAATGGGCTTCACACATTGTACCCATGTGGGGATTTGAACCCGGGTCTTCGGCGTGACGAGCCAACGCTTTAACCACTAGGCTACCCCACCGCCCCCATAATAACTGCTAAAACTTGAGCAATGCTTGATTACCTTAATTCACCATTCATGATTATTTCCTTACAGTACACCAGGACATGAGTTTATATGTGACTGTCCTTGTCCAAGATCAACAGAAGCACATTAGGTGTTGTTTTCTACAAATCTGGTTTGCAGATTGTCAGGAATGTTACAACATACATGTATATTCAGTTGATGATTTTTATGATGAAAATAAAGTTTGACAATCATGCTAAAGAAACAAAACATTGTTTGCAACACACAGTACCACCATAATGACATAGAATTGGTTTCCACAATACCATTCATAGCTTCACCAGCACTCCTAACTGTAAGTGTGCTTGTTTCCATGGAAACACTAAAAATTAAAAACATTTCTGTCAACATCCAACAAAATGCAAAAAGAACCAATAACTAAAGAAACTGCCCAAACCAAAACATGATAAATGATTAGTTTGATTTTATTTTAATAAAAATCTGGAGACAGAAATCTTTGAACAATCTAATAAAACAACACAATTCAACTCCTCCACATTTTAAAATGTACCGAGACTCCAAGGTGTTGAGGTGGATATCACTGTGATGGCATCAGCACAGGGAAACTATAACAAGGAACTAAGTGAGGCAAGTGTACTGTGGATCTGTGACCAGCATATGGCAAGGAAAGGCAGTGTCTGAAGAAAGATGCTGGGGAATTACCCATTGTTGTATGTGGAATTTTCGAGATAAAGCCGTCAAACATTGAAACTGGACTATGTCTGAATTGCTTGAAATAATGATGTTGTATTGACAAAACATAATTTGCCAGTGTTGTATTGACTAAATCATGACATACCAGTGTTTAAATACCTCTAAATCTACATCTGTATGTACAACAACTGTAAGACAGAGACTGATGGATCTATGAAAATAATGAGACAGTTGCCACAGTGATGACAGGAGGGTCTGTTTGAGCAGACCCCAGTGATGACAGGAGGGTCTGTTTGAGCAGACCCCAGTGATGACAGCAGGGTCTGTTTAATCAGACCCCAGTGATGATAGCAGGGTCTGTTTAAGCAGACCCCAGTGATGACAGCAGGGTCTGTTTAAGCAGACCCCAGTGATGATAGCAGGGTCTGTTTGAGCAGACCCCAGTGATTTGAGCAGACCCCAGTGATGATAGCAGGGTCTGTTTGAGCAGACCCCAGTGATGACAGCAGGGTCTGTTTGAGCAGACCCCAGTGATGATAGCAGGGTCTGTTTGAGCAGACCCAAGTGATGACAGCAGGGTCTGTTTAATCAGACCCCAGTGATGACCACAGGGTCTGTTTGAGCAGACCCAAGTGATGACAGGAGGGTCTGAGCAGACCCCAGTGATGACAACAGGGTCTGTTTAATCAGACCCCAGTGATGACAGCAGGGTGTTTAAGCAGACCCCAGTGATGACAACAGGGTCTATTTGAGCAGACGCCAGTGATGACAACAGGGTCTATTTGAGCAGACCCCAGTGATGACAGCAGGGTGTTTAAGCAGACCCCAGTGATGACCACAGGGTCTGTTTGAGCAGACCCAAGTGATGACAGGAGGGTCTGTTTGAGCAGACGCCAGTGATGACAACAGGGTCTGTTTAATCAGACCCCAGTGATGACAGCAGGGTGTTTAAGCAGACCCCAGTGATGACAACAGGGTCTATTTGAGCAGACCCCAGTGATGACAACAGGGTCTATTTGAGCAGACCCCAGTGATGACAGCAGGGTCTGTTTAAGCAGACCCCAGTGATGACAACAGGGTCTATTTGAGCAGACCCCAGTGATGACAACAGGGTCTGTTTAAGCAGACCCCAGTGATGACAACAGGGTCAATTTGAGCAGACCCCAGTGATGACAGCAGGGTCTGTTTAAGCAGACCCCAGTGATGACAACAGGGTCTATTTGAGCAGACCCCAGTGATGACAACAGGGTCTGTTTAAGCAGACCCCAGTGATGACAGCAGGGTCTATTTGAGCAGACCCCAGTGATGACAACAGGGTCTGTTTATCAGAAATGCCAGGCAAATGAAAGTATATACCCACATTTCATGGTGAATAAATACAATTCGGACAAGAACTAGTTATTCAATGGTGATGTATTGGATACGTTTTACAGTTATGTTTCAGACAGTAAGTTAACAGTTTTCAGGCCTCTGTTTTCACCCAAGGAACATTTTGCAATTATTTAGTCAAATTTTCAAGCGTATACTTTCTTTTTAATAGTATACATGTATAACTTTGAACTAGGCTACTGGCTTTATTGTACAACCTTCTGTGGCTAAGTCAAAACATACCATGAAAATATTTTATAAGGTTTAGATTCCAACATGAAAATAGTATCTGATTTCACGTTCATTCCTTATATTGAAATTAGTACTTTGAAATTTGTTCACACAAACAAGTCCCGAAATAGATTTGAAAACAAATAACAATTCTTTTGCCCAATATATAGCAGGCCCCTTTATACAGAAGACAATAATCTATCCTTGTAAGGAATATCAACTTGATGTCAAGTGCAGGTGTCGTGTCTTAGCGAGTCTTAAGGATTGAAAAAAGAAACAGACAAAAAAGAAAAGACAATTTTTGAGAGAACCCCTGTCCCGAAATGCTTCTGAGTACAATAAATCAGGATGTTATGATTTATTGTACAGTGAAGCATTTTGAGTTGAGGGTCATCTCAAAAGTTGTTTTATTTTGTTGTTGTTTTTACTCTTTAATCCGCTCAAAAACACGAGGGCCTGTGGTGTCAAGTACTTCACTTTACAAGCAGAATATCATACTATGCAAAGATTTTGAACGGTAATCGTGGTCTCTTCACTTGATGTTGTAAAAGTCTACCTAAAGACATAAAAATATTTTATGTACATCTGAGGTCTGACAGACGTTTTCAGTGACAGATGTTAACACAATGTCTATGGAATCCATAACAGAGACTATGACATCATCAGTCACAGATTCGCCTGAGGACCAGAACAGACCTGGGTCCAGAACATCTGACCACAACTATGGCGGCAGGTCTTGAGGTACCATCTGACTGTGAACAAGGTCTCATGGAAATTTACATAATATCAACGCCTCAGAATGAAAAACATAACTGTTTGAATGAATTTCAAAACAATTTGGAAAATATCAGTATGAACAAAATAGAATTAAAAGAAGAACAATAAAACAATAAAACAAAAACAAAACAAGGAGCAAGGGGAATGTCGGGAGGAGGAGAAGGGTGTATACGTACAAACAGACCAGCTTGTCAGCTCCTATCTGTAGATTATTGCTAAAATCACGAATTAAAAGTTGAGAGGCCTGCACCTGATGGACGCGATGTTACTATCATTGTACAGTTCTCTGGTCAATTAGATCCCCAGTCTGAAATGGACCCTTCATTTCAACAGTTTTACGCTCTGTTTAAATGAAAATGCTAAAAATAGTATCCCAATAAAACAGCACGTTACATTAATGAAATGCAAGACTGAGTTGCCAATGTCACTTCCTTAACAAAATTGGGCAGCGGGCGGGCCCTGGATATTTGTCACAATGCACCAATACCAAAAAGAAAATACTCTGGAAAAATAAGAATTAGGCCGATAAAAAAAATCATAATGAGTGCTGTTGTACCAGGCAGCTTGGAATCCTCAACTGTTAAGTGCACACAGATTTCACTTCAAGCATAATGATATATTGCTTTACGACTATGAATTAACATGGGATAACTTATAAAATAGGTTTCTGGGATTTCAAATGACACATTATATGTATGTAAGTATTGAGATGTTTCTATTCTATACAGTAAGGTCATACACAACTATATCGAGCTGTACTAAACAAAATCTAGTCTAGAATAAGTGACCTGATGTTTAACAATGAGCAATGGTTCAGCCATATCACACTGAAGAATTTGAGAAATAACAAAAGCTTGAAGCAATGATTCCTAGTGCTTGAAGCAAGTGACAGGATTACTCAACCTTGAACAATTGTTACAATTACTGGTACTTGAAGCAATAGTTGTGATTAATGAACTTGAAGCAATCATTATGATTATCAGCCTTTGCCGATTTTACTGGAGCTTGGAATCTTAGAGAAGAGAATGAGCTCAATCTTCCAAGAGCACTGGTAAACCTATGGCTTTCTTCTAAATCGTTACAACATGGCTGTCTTCTAAATCGTTACAACATGGCTGTCTACATCCACACAGTCATAAAATGACATGTCTCAATTCCACATCATTCATAAAACTTTAACACAGAAAAATTCAAACGGCCATTTATAACAGAGCGACATCGTTGACCGACAAGCAACTACCACGAGCTTATTACAAGCACTATAATGTATCCTCCTCGACTTGACCCACACATCAGAAACAGCTGACAAGTCACGAGGCGGAGAAAAGATGGAGGCTTGCATTGATCAACTTCCATTCAATGGTAATACTTTCATGAGAGGACGGATATATTACGAAATAATGATTGAAAAAACTGACTTACACGGTTACCACAATTAGCTAACATTCCTGTCAACATTCAATTTTTTACACAAAGAACGTCAAAAAGTTGGTAAGCATTATAGGAAGGGAGATAATGGAGGTTGGTCAGCAATAGAGGTGGGCGACTGATTACTCCAAACAGATGAATATTTAACTGTTAGGGTTTAACAGACTCAATCAGCTAGAGACAAAAGCTACAATAGAATAGTTACAACTAAATGTACAATATCACTGAAACCTTCATTATGTGTCAACTAGCCAAAACATGAGAAACAGTACTCCAGCACTGAAGATGACATGGATGATGTTGGCAACAACGTCAACTGTTAACAAAAACAGCAACACTAACAAAACCTGCTGTCAATATTGATATTCAAATATTCAGACATACGTTTTGATTCTGGCAACATACCTAACAAATATGACCAAGTAATGGCCTAAAAAGATATTTCCAAAAGGCTGCCATGGAGGCCATATTGAATGTTGAATGTGAACCTCTTGAACAAATTCAGCTTAAACAATTCTTTCGGATGTGGAGTTTCAGTTTGGTTGGTACAGTGGTTTCTGGGGACAAGATCATTTAGACATTCAAACAGGCCGCGACCAAATATCACTTTACTCGGGTAAGCTAAGAAGAATAACCGATATTTTCGCACAAAAAAACAATCGCTACACTACATTGTCTGTTGTTTCTGGTGACTGAAACCATCCTAGTCTCATGATGTTGTGAGCTACAACACATGTCACCTAGCATTTCCTAACTTTCCTCAGAAGATCTGATCGATCGAGACACTGAGTTTATTTTTATGCCACGTTTAGCAATATTCCAGCAATATTACAGGAATACCACAGTGGGGACACCAGAAATGGGTGTCACACATTGTACCCACCTGGGGAATCGAACCCGGGTCTTGAGCGTGATGAGCAAAAGCCTTAACCACCTATGCCCCTTGATCAATTATATAATACTGTTGTGTGATAACGATACATACATATCACATAAGCTTATGACATTATGTATATATGAAGGTAAAGTACTGTTAGATGACCACTCCACCAAAAGGATTTTGTTTCTGTTCAGTCAAGATCCTACACACAAAACTAGAAGACATAACAGTTGCCTTCTCTTCCACTGTGAGAGGACCATTTGTATCATGGATGGGATGAGGTGCCATTTGTATCATCCCATGTTGTCATACTCTCAGACAGAGGATGGGATGAGGTGCCCATGTTGTCATACTCTCAGACAGAGGATGGGATGAGGTGCCCATGTTGTCATACTCTCAGACGATGGATGGATGGAGGGTCAGCAAGGATGACTAGAGGCAGTTACTGAAAAAATACTCCTCTCCCCACAACAACTTAACACTCCAGATACACTTGAGGCAGTGGATTATTGTCTTCAGGTGCCTCCACGATGGAGGACTGTAACTGTCGAGATGATGCCATCAGTGCTTGAATGTATTGAATAATTGGTACATAAGCGACTTCACGTTACCTTACACTACAAACATAACAATATACATTCCCGATCAAAGACATCTTTTTACAAACATGATTAACATGTGAAATGATCAGCTGATAATGCTGGTTCCTTAAAATATGAAATCTCAATAACAATATGTTTTTCAGAACTTGTAAAAATTGCACATTTTTTAATAATATCTTGGGGTTTTCAAGAAATATATTGATAACAATTTCTAATACTACTCAATGTACTAAAGAGATCAAAACCCTGAACACAAGGATGAAATATATTTGCCGATGCCCAGTAAATTAAAAAACATTCAAAATCAATGAATAGATTGGATTGTTTGAACATGAGACAGGTATACTTTGGGCAAGTAAATGTCTACCATGTTCAATGGATTTGTGAAAATACTATTGCTACAAAATTCAATCTGACAAAATATCAAAATTGAACTTCCTGGAACAGAGGAACTTCTATTATATTGCCACAGAAAAAGACAACACATATTACAGGTAAACCTTGTTTTTGCAACCATTAGTGCAATGGGAGATCTCACTGCTGTATGGCTATGTCAGTTCAATACATGTTAAGTAACCCCTGTTTGAAGGTGACAGATCACATGGGCATGTAAGGTATAGCGCTGACACAGCTGTTGCCATCAGGGCTAGAGTTCACCTGAGGACGTCCAAAACTGCATCATGAAACAAGGAGCTAATGCCATAACACCATCAACAAATAACAATCGGTAAATGCTTCCAGGAAATGTTTTACACTTTCCGTTTCCTCTGAAAGTTAAATATTGTAATGAATATATAAACTAGCAGTTATTGCCTGCTTGTGAGATGTGATCTATTCATGAGGACACTGACCTCTAGAGGTCGGCTGTCAGATACATTCATGAGACAATGTCCTCTAGAAGTCAGCTGTCAGACATGTTGGTGAGGCCCTGCCAGTACTGTATAGGTCAACTGATTGTCATGTTCACATGAGCAGGGTAAGTAGTGGAGCCCTGCAACAAAATCCTTACACCGAGAAGCAAGTGTTCCAAATTTCATACACGTTTGCAAGCTAGCTTGAAGGGTTGATCTGTGGGTTGATCTACGGTGTGTTTTGCCATTCAAGTGTTCTTGTTGTTGATGTTTCAGAGTGACGATATTGTGAGGTATTCATCTCATACACAAAATTATCATTGGTTACTGACTAGTACTATTTCCAGAATATCATACGGACATAAAAAGCTGGATTTCAAAACAGAGAATATGGCCATCATTGTCTATGTCGTAAGTCACTTCACCGGGATGGTTTCCACTCAAACTGATGTCTCACACATGATGTGCCTGAAGGGTTACACGAAATACAGATGATGAAGTCTGGCAACTGACTACAGCTTGGTACTGATGTCTGTGACGGAAATGTAACTGGGGTTTGCTTCTGTTCCAGCAGGAGGTTGTTCAAATCGGGAAATCTCCTCCAGCGCATGTTCTTCTAATGGGAGAATGGCGGGGTGTGCTGCAGAAACACATGCCACATAGTCCGGGTGTGTGGGAGATTCTGGTGAGGTTTGCACATCATCAGAACCAAGACCAGCCTTCATATAGGCATCCAAGGAACCTGATGTTGACCTAGAATTATCTGACCTTGACCCAGAATTATCTGACCTTGACCCTGCAGATGTTTCTTCTCTACAAGCATTCACCAATGGAACTGGTACATAATTCTCATTGAGGATAACTGGTGGGCTTGTGTTGGAAAGGTAGTCAGGATGAAAAGATCTATAAACCTCAGTACCGACTGTCTTCACACAAGGAACTCCATTAGTCACCTGCTGTTCTTGGACATAGTCTGGGTGGAAAGGTTGAGCCACATTGCCAACAGCGGTCTCCACATTGGGTGACATATGATTCAAGCTGAGAACACCAAGATCTTTGTTGGAAACAACTGGATCTGCTCCCGGAAAACTGGACACTGCTGTGTCAGAAAACAGGGAGTAATTCTCTGGTGGTCTATTACCATGGGTGGGTTCAATATCACCTATTTTCTTGTAGTCTGGGCAATGAACAATTCCATTCTTGACATCAAGCTGATTTGGGTCGATGGCCACCTGAATTCGATCTGGGTCACTTGTCAGCTTCACGACAGCCTCAGTAGGCAGGCTGCCAGGCTGGCCACAGTGCATGTTGGTATCGGAGTTGGTCCTTGTGCTGTCGCTGGAACCGGAACGGATCACATCCTGCAAGTAAACATCAGTGTTTTCCTTAACTGATCCTAGAACTAATCCTGTAACATTCCTGTTACTACTGTAACTAATCCTGTGACTGTTCCTGAAACTGATCCTATACATGATCCTGTTACTAATCCTAAAACTGATCCTGTAGGTGATGGTGTTACCTATCTTAACACTGATCCTGTAGGTGATGGTGTTACTGATCCTAAAACTGATCCTGTAGGTGATGGTGTTACCTATCTTAACACTGATCCTAAAACTGATCCTGTAGGTGATGGTGTTACCTATCTTAACACTGATCCTAAAACTGATCCTGTAGGTGATGGTGTTACTAATCCTAAAACTGATCCTGTAGGTGATGGTGTTACCTATCTTAACACTGATCACTGATCCTGTAGGTGATGGTGTTACCTATCTTAACACTGATCCTGAGGTGATGGTGTTACTGTCTTAACACTGATCCTGTAGGTGATGGTGTTACTGATCTTAAAACTGATCCTGTAGGTGATGGTGTTACCTATCTTAACACTGATCCTGTAGGTGATGGTGTTACTGATCTTAAAACTGATCCTGTAGGTGATGGTGTTACCTATCTTAACACTGATCCTAAAACTGATCCTGTAGGTGATGGTGTTACCTATCTTAACACTGATCCTAAAACTGATCCTGTAGGTGATGGTGTTACCTATCTTAACACTGATCCTAAAACTGATCCTGTAGGTGATGGTGTTACTAATCTTAAAACTGATCCTGTAACACTGATCTTAAAACTGATCCTGTAGGTGATGGTGTTACTGATCTTAACACTGATCCTGTAGGTGATGGTGTTACTGATCCTGTAACTGATGTAGGTGATGGTGTTACCTATCTTAACACTGATCCTGTAGGTGAAATCTTAAAACTGATCCTGTAGGTGATGGTGTTACCTATCTTAACACTGATCCTAAAACTGATCCTGTAGGTGATGGTGTTACTTATCTTAACACTGATCCTGTAGGTGATGGTGTTACTGATCTTAAAACTGATCCTGTAGGTGATGGTGTTACCTATCTTAACACTGATCCTGTAGGTGATGGTGTTACTGATCTTAATGGTGTTACCTACTGATCCTGATCCTGTAGGTGATGGTGTTACCTATCTTAACACTGATCCTAAAACTGATCCTGTAGGTGATGGTGTTACCTGTAGGTGATGGTGTTACTGATCCTAAAACTGATCCTGTAGGTGATGGTGTTACCTATCTTAACACTGATCCTGTAGGTGATGGTGTTACTGATCTTAAAACTGATCCTGTTGGTGATGGTGTTACCTATCTTAACACTGATCCTGTAGGTGATGGTGTTACTGATCTTAAAACTGATCCTGTTGGTGATGGTGTTACTGATCCTAAAACTGATCCCTCCCTTCTTCATAACATAGCAACATGGTGATTTTAGTTCAAATACACTCGACTAATTGTAGTATGAAAGTTAATTTTTTATGCTTCTCAAAAAGGTGGTAATTCCATAAAAAAAACAACCCACCAACTTACGATTTATGCACATGTACTTGTAGCATGTCACAGCGACAATCAAATCAGGATTTATACTCAGATATTTTAGGTCACAGCATGAAGATCAGTGGACACCTCCAGAGGAGTAATTGACAATCTTCTATTTGAGACCCTAGTTACCTCCTCCGTGGCCCTTGTTTGGTTGGTTGCGCCCATGGAGGACGACTCTGACGACGAGGTATCCGACCTCAGCATGTCATGTGATGGGGATGAATATGGGCTTGTCCACTGGAACAGACAAACAGGTTATCAGGACAGGACATATCCCCCAGTCAGGTTCACTTTCAGAAGAGAGTTTGGCTTCTTACACCACAATTTGGGTTCACAGCCTTCAGTGAAACCAAAATGTAACATCAGTAAGTATTTTTTCAATATCGCAAGTAAAAAACACCAGTTCAACCCTAGACTAATCTGTAAAGTTTCAGTGTTTCAATAGTAAAAATTCCATAATTTTGGAATTCTGCCTCAGAAATGAGCACAATCCTCAGTTTTAGTATTTGTCTAAATTGTCATCAGGAAAATCAACCAGAAATACAAAAATAACAAGTGTTTGACACTGATATGACAATGTCCCCCAACCGCCAAGAATGGAATATCTATATTTACTACTATCTATTTTTTGGTCACATACAAGATGCCTGAAATGACTGGTGTCTGCATAATCACCCAATGTAGGCTGTCAACATAATTGAAAACATTGAGTGCAATGTTTTATGAAATATCGCGTTAAAATAAGTTTGAAAAGCGGTCAAAGTGTTGTGGTGACCTTGAAGATAAGGTCAAGGTCACCCAATAAACTGGTGTCTGCATTATCCCCCCAATGTAGGCTGTCACCAAATTTGAAGACATTGGGTACAACAGTCCATTAGTGGTGTAACGATTCATAGATAGTATCGATGTTTACATCATCAACTATGCGATACGAGTGCATCGATACAAAACACATTTAGGCAATATATCAGGATATTTATATCGAGAGGGTCCATTGATGTATCACCATAAGAGACGATATATACCGATACAACTTAAATATTACTTAAAGGAGTATTGCATTAGGAATAGGACAGGAGTCTCCTTGAAATTCTTCAGAATTTTAAAAACAAATTGAACATTTTACAAACTCTGTGACCTGTAGAATACTTGTCTTCAAGTAATTGAAACATGCAGATGTTTTAGTTGTTTGACAAATAACACCATTTGTTAACAACTATGAACGATGTCTTAGCTTTGTTGAGAAAGAGAACTAAGAGAAGATAAAATTAGAAGGCAGACTTAAGAGTTTTTTTCAGTGATTCTAAATTCTGCTATTAATTACATTGAGTTGATTGTGAAAGCACTGGTGTAGAAACAACTTTCCAAGGGAAACTTCACTTTCAAATGTAAATATATATATATTAGATCAAGGTAAAAATAAAGTTTCAGTCATTTTATCTACCATATCTGTTCTGTTATCACAGGGTGGAAGTGCTGTCCACATGTAATGTGGAGTTGTCCCAAAAGCAACTCCATTTCCTCGCTGGACAGTGAAAGAAGAACAGTGGCGCAAGAGTTATGGTAAGTTTACCTCGCATTTGCATTATGTTGCAAGTATATCAGGTTTTGCCATTTGGCAGAAGGATCTAGAAAGTAACAGATCTTTCTGTAATAGCTTGACACCCTCTGTATTCATTACAATTGCGCGTTAGGCGAGGGCACCCTCCTGAATGTCGAAAGAAAATGATCGTTTCAACACGAAATATGGCATCCTCATCAGCAGACACACCTTTTTTTTTGCTGTCAGTTCTTAGATATAGTGATTTTATGTCTTCATTCGCAGTTTAGGCTTCAATGCATCGGTAATTTTTGAGTTATCGTCGAAAAATCAAACCGTACATTTTACATGGAGTTGTTTTGAAACTGTTCATTGCTTTGAATGTTTACGTTGAAGTAACTGTCCATGTAGTTGCATGGATTTTAGAGCATTAACTGTTGAAACCCCACAGTAACTTACCAGCTTTATAAAAGGAAACAACAAAAGCACCAATTTCCCACATGGGTACAATGTGTGAAGCCTATTTCTGGTGTTCCCTGCCGTGAAATTGCTGGAATATTGCTAAAAGCGGAGTAAAACTAAACTCACTCACTTACTAAGCTGGTGTGATAGTCTACATAAGGTAAGACATGAGTCATTTCCTTGATGACGATCACTTTAACCAGCAGGTAGATGATAAACACTGCTCAATATTTTCGATACACCTGTGAAACTTTTGAAGGTGATGACATTGCCACAGCAACTCACTTTGGGTAAGCTGATTGTTTCTGATCTCCAACACTGTTTTCTCCTTCTGTAGCAGCATCTGCAGAGGAAACCACAGGGGCTGTTTTCACAAGGAACATGAACACTGCTTTACAATTGTTAATATGTGTGACCCACTCACCTTTTCTCTCTTTCATTTGTTTAAATTACCCTTTGTCAGCTTGGATCAAGATCTTTTCTCAAATTAAATGTCAAGTAGGTACATTCTAATTCCCCACCAGAACAGACCTGAGAACAGAACCATTAGTTCCTTGGATTTGGGACACATGGTAATGTTCTCTAACTGCTGGTATCAGACAGTGAGTGAACACTGCTTCTGTGAATGGTATTTTGGTTGTGACAGCATGACAGCTTGATGTGGGAAGGAGGCCTGAAGTGATGAATCCCTGACATTTTTAACTTTGATGAAATTTATTAATACTTAGATGTTTCTGACAGATGAAGAAACAATCAGGTTCCTGAAACATCTAAGGTAAGCAACTCTGCACAACAAATTCTGGTTACCTAATTGCCTGCCATCCCTCCTTCTGATAACACGGTGACATGCTATAAATGTTCTCCGTGACATGCTATAAATGTTCTCCGTGACATGCTATAAATGTTCACCGTGACATGCTATAAATGTTCTCTGTGACAAGCTATAAATGTTCTCTGTGACATGCTATAAATGTTCTCCGTGACATGCTATAAATGTTCTCTGTGACATGCTATAAATGTTCTCTGTGACATGCTATAAATGTTCTCTGACATGCTATAAATGTTCTGTGACATTCTATAAATGTTCTCCGTGACATGCAAAAATGTTCTCCGTGACATGCTATAAATGTTCTCTGTGACATGCTATAAATGTTCTGTGACATGCTATAAATGTTCTCTGTGACATTCCATAAATGTTCTCCGTGACATGCTATAAATGTTCTCCGTGACATGCTATAAATGTTCTCCGTGCAGGCTATAAATGTTTTCCGTGACATGCTATAAATGTTCTCTGTGACATGCTATAAATGTTCTCCGTGCAGGCTATAAATGTTCTCCGTGCAGGCTATAAATGTTTTCCGTGACATGCTATAAATGTTCTCTGTGACATGCTATAAATGTTCTCTGTGACATGCTATAAATGTTCTCCGTGACATGCAATAAATGTTTTAGGACCCATGGATGTCATGGAACTACTTACATGGCAATGACAACCGCCAAGATAACACAGACAATAGCTGCTGCTACAGCAGATCCAAACACCAGAGGGGAATCAAAATATCCTGAAAAATAAGAAGCATATTATTGATGTTGCACACAGAATAGAAGCCTCTGTACCAGTGCTCATGATCTTCACCGTCAGTACTTCATCACAATTATGTCATTCGTTTGAATACACTATGTTCCTCTTTCACACAATACTTCACAGGTTTTTCCACCCTTTGTTCCTCTTTCAGACTATTCACCTGGTACAGGGGGTCAGGTAACTCACCACGATCTGATGGAATCATCTGTTACAGGGGGTCAGGTAACTCACCATGTTCTGATGGAATCGTCTGGTACAGGGGGTCAGGTAACTCACCACGATCTGATGGAATCATCTGGTACGGGGGGTCAGGTAACTCACCACGTTCTGATGGAATCATGTGGCACAGGGGGTCAGGTAACTCACCACGATCTGATGGAATCGTCTGGTACGGGGGTCAGGTAACTCACCACGTTCTGATGGAATCATGTGGCACAGGGGGTCAGGTAACTCACCACGATCTGATGGAATCATCTGTTACAGGGGGTCAGGTAACTCACCATGTTCTGATGGAATCGTCTGGTACAGGGGGTCAGGTAACTAACTACGATCTGATGGAATTGTCTCGTAAAGGGGGTCAGGTAACTCACCACGTTCAGATGGAATCATCTGATACAAGGGGTCACTGATTGGTCCAGCTCCAGCGGAGGACAAGGCTTGTAACCTGAAGCTGTAATTTGTCCCAACACGGAGATCCACAGCGACATGTTCGGTTGTAGTCAGGTTGTAGGTGAAGTTCCTCTCATTGATGATGTCTGAAAACAGCAGCATCACATACACTGCAACCTGGTTCAGATCTGGACCAGACAAACCAGTGATACACACATGGATGACTGCTGTTTGTGCATATGACACGTGCACTGTATTAAAGATGATTTCCTGTTTTCATTTACAACATTTTACAAAACCAGAATTCATTTGGTGATATGTTTTGAAATAAACAACTACCAACCACACTTATACATCAGCAGTGATTACTAAACATGATCTGTTTCAAAAAAAAGTTGTTTACACTCCATAGAGCTTATACAAAATATACTTTGTTGGAACGGAAAGGAACATACTATTGCCAGCCACTTCTCCCATGTACAGCCGGTAGCTGGTGATGAGTGCTGTGTCAATGCACCTCGTCTTGGGCCACTTGAGCTTCAGACTGGAGGGGGAGGCTGTCTTCTCCACCTGGAGTCCTCTCGGCTTCACGGTTGGCCCTGTGTACGATACAGCGGGAAACTTGAATAACAAAAGACATGTTTCACTTTATCAAGCTACACATTGTCTCGTCTCTGACTATCCCGTGACTGTAAACTGTTCACTGCCTGTACATGGGCTGTTCATTGTTTAACATTGTCTGTACATTGTCTGTTCATTGTCTGTACATGGGCTGTTCATTGTTTAACATTGTCTGTTCATTGTCTGATCATTGTTCACAGTCTGTTCACTGGCCATTTCGGGGTTTGGGGTAGCCTAGTGATTAAAATGTAAACTTGTCATGCTAAAGGCCTGGGTTTGATTCCTCACATCGGTTTAAAGTGAGAATCCTATTTCTGGTATCCCCCATCTGATATTGCTGGAATATTGCTAAAAGTCTTGTAAAACCAAACTCACTCACTCACTCACTTGTGTGTTGGCGTCTGTGTATTATCTGTTCACTGCCTGTCCATTGTTTTTACACGACTGTCTGATACTTGAGTGACTATCTTGAAGTGTATGAACAGTTTTGACCATCCTGAGCCAAAGGTGACATTATCATAAACAATAATAACAGACTCAGAAATGTAAATATGCTTTAACTAACATTGACTATCACTGATGGACTAGATATATCTTCCTTGAAATTCATCAACTTATTTAACAATGTGATCTACTCACGTGTGAACCCTCCACGACAGTACACTCCGACCACGTGATACCCAAGGTCACGTTTTCCAAGATGGCTGACACACCAAACAAGTAATCATCAACAATGACCGTCTCATCAGGGATCAAGAATGAGGTCTTGTTGACCTCAACTAATCCCCATTTCAGGAGTTTCTGGAAAAATGTGTGACTTTTCTATAATAATGTACACGTGAGAACAAACATACCATACTCCCACCATATCACAATCACCTAACAATGGAGGTTATTTCATGCAGACTAATACAAACATTGATGCAATGTCCTGTGATCCGACAGCATACATAGCTCTGCCTTCAGTCTAATTAAAGGCAGGTCTTTCACTTCAGTATGATATACCTCTGCATGAACATATGACAAAATCTTAATAAGGAGTAGCCTCAGGCAAACTTTTTAATCAAATAAGCATTGTGTCTTTTAAAGTTTTGGCAAAAGATAACAATTCCTTGACTCCAGCACATAAGAACCAACCAACAAGAAACTCCCAGAATGTATATATGAAGGCGTCCATAGATCACAGCATAGAAATCGTAGCAGAGCAAATATTAGTCTGTAATGAGTTCGGTTTCTCTAGTGATTTTCTCAGTGTTTCACTGAATATATATCAGCAATGGTCTTCAAGAAATCAGCGATGGTCTTCAAGCAACGCTTTTTTCCTAAAGTTATCTCTAAAACCTGTAATTCTGTCAAGCACAGTTTTGATATTAACCACTGACGTTAACTATTGACGCAAATTATTTACGTTAACTATTGATGTTTTGACATATACTGGTAATTGACTCTAACTATTGATGTTAAAGCGTGACAGAAATGATCAATATTGACTATTAACGTTAACTATTGGTGTTAAAAGTGTGACAGAAATGATTGATGTTGACTATTAACGTTAACTATTGGTGTTAAAAGTGTGACAAAATGATTGATGTTGACTATTAACGTTAACTATTGGTGTTAAAAGTGTGACAGAAATGATTGATGTTGACTATTAACGTTAACTATTGATGTTAAAGTGTTACAGAAATGATTGATGTTGACTATTAACGTTAACTATTGATGTTAAAGTGTTACAGAAATGATTGATGTTGACTATTAAGGTTAATTTTTGGTGTTTAAGTGTGACAGAAATGATCAATGTTGACTATTAACGTTAAATATTGATGTTAAAGTGTTACAGAAATGATCAATGTTGACTATTAAGGTTAATTTTTGGTGTTTAAGTGTGACAGAAATGATTGATGTTGACTATTAACGTTAACCATTGATGTTAAAGTGTTACAGAAATGATCAATGTTGACTATTAACGTTAAATATTGATGTTAAAGTGTTACAGAAATGATCAATGTTGACTATTAACGTTAACTATTGGTGTTAAAAGTGTGACAGAAATGATTGATGTTGACTATTAACGTTAACTATTGATGTTAAAGTGTGACAGAAATGATTGATGTTGACTATTAACGTTAACTATTGATGTTAAAGTGTTACAGAAATGATTGATGTTGACTATTAACGTTAACTATTGATGTTAAAGTGTGACAGAAATGATTTATGTTGACTATTAACGTTAACTATTGATGTTAAAGTGCTACAGAAATGATTGATGTTGACTATTAACGTTAACTATTGGTGTTAAAGTGTGACAGAAATGATCAATGTTGACCATTAACGTTAACTATTGGTGTTAAAAGTGACAGAAATGATTGATGTTGACCATTAACGTTAACTATTGGTGTTAAAGTGTGACAGAAATGATTGATGTTGACCATTAACGTTAACTATTGATGTTAAAGTGTTACAGAAATTATTGATGTTGACTATTAACGTTAACTATTGGTGTTAAAGTGTGACAGAAATGATCGATGTTGACTATTAACATTAACTATTGATGTTAAAGTTTGACAGAAATTACTGATGTTGACTATTAACGTTAACTGTTGATGTCAACTACTGAGGTCTTGACCATGGTTGACATGTTTAGAGACACTGCGAGATAACTTGACATACCTCACACTTCTTTCTGATCGTTGATCCAACGCACCAGTACACATACAACTCAGATATCTCCCCTTCAGGTCGCTTCCACATGGCCTTGACCTCTCTGTCAGACACCATGATGGTAAAATCTTCAATTTTTGTACCTGTAGGATATGAAACTCAGTTGAAACAGTCCACCAACAGACCCCATGCTCTCTCTTAAAAACAGCTAAAGCGAGCTTTGTTGAAATGTTGACACTGACCTTGACCTGTGGGTGGTATGACAATTGTGGAGGGGCTGCCGGATGCTCCCACACTGGTCTCGGCATCCAGGGAGATGACATGGCGTTTGTCACACGGCAGACTGAGAGCTGTGAACTGGAACTCGGCAGCATCCAGTGTTCTGCTGATACCGTTGTACTCCACCAAATACTGGGTGATCTTCCCATTGCTATCTGCTGCTCTTGGTTCCTGCAGCAGAGTGTCATGTGACTAGGTGTCCGATCACTCAGGTGATCTCGTGACACACTTAATAACAAAATGGCTACTGTCAAATTTATCACATTGGGATATAGATAGGTCTTTATACCCCCAATACGGTATTTCCTTACACCAACTAATATGTTTTCCTGGCAGCACATCCACATAAATGCAAATGTTATGAAATCTGGCTGTTGTTGTTTTGAGAGAGAAACAAAACTGAGATTAAAAAATACAAATGCTAATTTTTCACTACACATTTTACCCATTGTATAAAGTCTGGCAGTTCAAGATATCCTCCATACCCGCCAACATATTGGAAAGCTTCAGTTTATTAAATCCAGCTTTGCCTGGTCTAATGACACAGTTATTACTTTCACTAGTCTCACAACTATTGAAAATACCATTCTAGAAACATGACAAAATGTTCACAAATGTTGGTGCTCAAGAAAAAGGCTTTTGTGGTCTCATATCTGTTTAAATTTCACCCCAAATTCAATGTTCTTCCAATAAAAACCGATACCTGCATTTTGAAATCTAAAAAAAAAATAATATTTTTTGGACATGGAAAGGACATGCCAATATACATGTCAACTCTCTGGACTGCTGAACAGTGTCAAGTGATATGTTGAACAGTGTCAAGCAATGTGTCAAACAATGTCAAGCGATACTTTTAACAATGTCAAGCAATACTTTGAACAGTGTCAAGCGATATGTTGAACAGTGTCAAGCGATATGTTGAACAGTGTCAAGTGATATGTTGAACAATGTCAAGCGATATGTTGAACAGTGTCAAGTGATATGTTGAACAGTGTCAAGCGATATGTTGAACAGTGTCAAGCAATGTGTAAAAAAGAATGTCAAGCGATATTTTGAACAGTGTCAAGTTATACGTTGAACAATGTCAAGCGTTACTTTTAACAATGTCAAGCAATATTTTGAACAGTGTTAAGTGATATGTTGAACAGTGTCAAGCGATAAAATGAGTATGAGTGATAATGTGAGTTTGGTTTTATGTTGTACAGTGTCAGCGATGATGTTGAAGTATCAAGCAATATGATGAGCAGTGTCAAGCGATAATGTTGAACAGTATCTAGCAATAAGTTGAACAGTGTTAAGAGATAATGTTGAACAGTGTCAAGCGATATGTTCAACAGTGTCAAGCCATATGTTGTACAGTGTCAAGCGATATGTTGAACAGTATCTAGCAATATGATGAGCAGTGTCAAGCGATAATGCTGAACAGTATCTAGCAACAGTATGTTTTGACAGAGTCAAGCGAAATGTTGTACAGTATCAACTGATAATGTGGAGCAGTGTCAAGCGATATGTTGTACAGTGTCAAGTGATATGTTGTACAGTGTCAAGCGATATGTTGAACAGTATCTAGCAATATGATGAGCAGTGTCAAGCGATAATGTTGAATAGTATCTAGCAATATGTTTGACAGAGTCAAGCGAAATGTTGTACAGTATCAACTGATAATGTGGAGCAGTGTCAAGCGATATGTTGTACAGTGTCAAGCGATATGTTGTACAGTGTCAAGCCATATGTTGAACAGTATCTAGCAATATGATGAGCAGTGTCAAGCGATAATGTTGAACAGTATCTAGCAATATGTTTGACAGTGTCAAGCGAAATGTTGTACAATATCAACTGATAATGTGGAGCAGTGTCAAGTGATATGTTGTACAGTGTCAAGCGTGATATGTTGTTCAGTGTCAAGTGATATGTTGTACAGTGTCAAGCAATATGTTGTACAGTGTCAAGCGATATGTTGAACAGTGTCAAGCGATATGTTGTACAGTGTCAAGCGATATGTTGTACAGTATCAAGCGATATGTTGTACAGTGTCAAGCGATATGTTGTACAGTGTCAAGCGATATGTTGTACAGTGTCAAGTGATATGTTGTACAGTGTCAAGCGATATGTTGTACAGTGTCAAGCGATATGTTGTACAGTGTCAAGCGCTATGTTGAACAGTGTCAAGCGATATGTTGAACAGTGTCAAGTGATATGTTGTACAGTGTCAAGCGATATGTTGTACAGTGTCAAGCGATATGTTGAACAGTGTCAAGCGATATGTTGTACAGTGTCAAGCGATATGTTGAACAGTGTCAAGCGATATGTTGTACAGTGTCAAGCGATGTGTTGATGAGCAGTGACTGCTCCAGCTGGGTCGTCCAGCATCCCAGCCAGACACCCCTATTAATCCAACTAACTCACACCCGTGGCCAAAGCACGAAAATGTATTTTCCAGTGGTTGCATTCCTTTAAGTACTATTTCAATTGAGGTACTTAAAATTGCTTGAAGATCTTTAAATAAAAGCACTTAGCTCAAGAAGAGATCACATTTTGTACAGATACCCTGTCCCATTGGATCTCAGGGAGATCTTGCGAATGGAATGAACACTTCACAGCAAATGATTGTTTTCCCAAAATACCCCTAAAATATTTAAAGGATAATCTATTCAATAGCACGAAAGGCGAGTCTCCAGTGAAACTAAAATGTGACCTTGAGAATGATCAGAGTGTAAGTAAATGTTGCAAACAGCTACTTCTTACCTGCCAAAACACCGTGACATCATGGACGTTGGAATGACAGACCTCTGAGTAGAAGCTGCCTTGTGTAGTGTGTGGCCCGGTAGACGGCACTGTCAGTGAGTGAGGGAGTAAGATTTTATAAAGATTTCAGCAATATTTCATCAATATAACAGCAGGCAAAAAGCTTAATACATTGTACTAAAATCACATTGCTGGTTTGAATATTAAGAGCGAAGACTTTCACCATTTGACTCCTGCACTGCCACTGAACCCGATGAATTGGAAATATGAAATACATGAAAGGAAATGGTCAGTGGTACTTAGCTTCTGGAATTTGGTACCCGGTGAATGTCAAAGATCATGCCAAAGTCAAATGTTAGACATTAGATAGTGATAAAGCACACAAACCTACTTTCAAGATATTCGTCATTCAAGAGTGAGTGAGTGAGTTTGGTTTTACGCTGCTTTTAGCAATATTCCAGCAACATCACGGCGGGGGACACCAGAAATGGGCTTCACACAATGTACCCATGTGGGGATTCGAACCGGATTCTTCAAGATATTCGGTCATTCAAGAAAAATATTAGTGTGACATGAATTAAAATATAATTTTCTTGTGCTCATTCAGACTTCTGATAGTGTGCAAAAAAAAGACACATTATGTTTCATTTACAGGGAATTGAGGTTTTTTTTGCTCTAAGATACTGTAAGCATTTTGTGTTAGTTATCACTTTCATGCCAAAACAAGTTTGTCATACTCTTTCTCAAATATAGATATTTGTATTTGTGTCAACCCACATCAGATTTACACAAATAAGGAAATGGGCGACTCTGTAACATTTTTAACACTTAAATGTCAAGGAATGTCGGAATCAGATCCTTGAGATGCTTCTTTATAGCTGGGAACATGGGTCCATTTATCATCCTCACTCTGGGCGGAGATTTCTCTCAAAACATCGTCATCAGAGAGCATGTGTCCTGCCATGATTTTGTGGCTTGTCATGGTCTCGCCAAAAGGGCACCACACGTATGTGCCTCATCCTAATTATAGGCATGGGGGCGGTGGTGCAGACTATTGATAAATGCGTTCGCTCGTCATGCCGAAGACCCGGGTTCGATGCCCAACATGGGTACAATATGTGTAGCCTATTTCTGGTGTCCCCGCCGTTATATTGCTGGAATATTGCTAAAAGCGGCGTAAAACCAAACTCACTCACTATAGGCATGATGACACTCTGCACCTTGCCAAGGTAGGGGAGATAACTCATCCTCATATAGCAATAAAGGGCCTTGAAAACCAAGAAATATAATTATCTTGAAAAATCATGATGTGGGTAGTTCACTATTTTACCCCAACCCCAAATGTTCACCTACATCTTGAGTTAGCAGCAGCTCTGACTAACGTATGACCTTCACTACTCACACCCAACCTCCAACACTCACACCCAACCTCCAACACTCACACCTGACCTCCGACACTCATACCCGACTTCTGACACTCACACCCAACCTCCAACACTCACACCTGACCTCCAACACTCACATCTGACTTCCGACACTCACACCCGACCTCCAACACTCACACCCGACCTCCAACACTCACACCCGACCTCCAACACTCACACCCTGACCTCCAACACTCACACCCGACCTCCAACACTCACACCCGACCTCCAACACTCACACCCGACCTCCAGCACTCACACCCGACCTCCAACACTCACACCCAGTCTAAGTAAACTTTGGCTCAGCATTATTCGTTACACTGTTATACTGAGTCTAACAAAACCTTGTGGAAGGTCGCGTCAGGTAACCTTTGAGGGACCTATGACCGTCCAATCGACGGACGAACAGATTTAACCAATCAGACAACAGCTACTATTTAGGGTTTAGCGGGACTTACAAAATGGATATTCTCTTCCCCGGTCGCCAGCACTGATATCATAACAAATGAAAACCCGCATAAAACACAGATATATGACCTGCAGAATATACTCTTTTGGGTTTCTGTTGCTAATATTTCCGCAAGCTGACATCCTTGAATACTGACAAAACTCTATTCTCAGTGACTGTTTACTCACTCTTGTGGCGTGCTCCATGTGCATCACTCGGAAGTGATCGTATGGAAAATAGTATTCGGAATAGTTAGGGTACAAAACTTTTTCAAGGTAAAAGTTCAAAAGGTATGTGCGAATGTTAACGTTCGCGATTTGGTAAGCTGTGTTCTGATTGGTCCATTGAAAAGGTCAGCTGACGCGACCTTCCACAAGGTTTTGTATAGCAGTGTAACAAACAATATTGAGCCTAATTTTTTTTAGACTGCACTCACACTCAACCTCCGACACTCACACCTGCGACCCAATGCTCACACCCAACCTTCGACACTCACACCCAACCTCCGACACACCTGCGATCCAACGCTCACACCCAACCTCCGACACTCACACCTGCGATCCAACACTCACATCCGACCTCCAACACTCACACACGACGCTCACACCCCACCTCCAACACACACACCTGACCTCCAACACTACACACCCCACCTCCAACACTCACACCTGACCTCCAACACTCTACACCTGACCTCCAACACACTCCAACCTCCAACACTCACCACCTGACCTCCAACACTCACACCTCCAACAGTCCCCTCCAACACTCACACTCTGACCTCCAACACTCACACCCCACCTCCAACACTCACACCTGACCTCCAACACTCACACCTGACCTCCAACACTCACACCTCCCACCTCCAACACTCACCTCCAGCACTTCTCATACCTGACCTCCAACACTCACACCTGACCTCCAACACTCACCTGACCTCCAACACTCACACCCACCCCACCTCACTCACATCCACCCTGACCTCCAACACTCACACCTCCCCACCTCCAACACTCACACCTGACCTCCAACACTCTCACACCTGACCTCCAACACTCACACCCTGACCTCCAACACTCACTCACAACTTGACCTCCAACACCTCACACAATTCACACCTCCAACACTCACACTTTGGACCTCAACACTCACACCCCACCTCCAACACTCCACCTACACTCACACCCCTACCTCCAACACTCACACCCCACCTCCAACACACACCAACACGCACACTGACCTCCAACACTCACACCTGACTGACCTCCAACACCTCACACCCACACCTCCAACACTCACACCTGACCTCCAACACTCACACCCACCTCCAACACTCACACCTGACCTCCAACACTCACCCAACCTCCAACACTCACACCCCACCTCCAACACTCACACACCCTCCACCTCCAACACTCACACCCCACCTCCAACACTCACACCTAACCTCCAACACTCACACCTGACCTCCAACACTCACACACCCACCTCCAACACTCACACCTGACCTCCAACACTCACACCTGACCTCCAACACTCAACCCTCCAACACTCACACCTTGGGCTCCACCTCACAACACTCCAACACCCCACCTCCAACACTCACACCTGACCTCCAACACTCAACTGACCTCCTCCAGCACTCACACCCTGACCTCCAACACTCACACCTGACCTCCAACACTCACACCCTGACCTCCAACACTCACACCTGACCTCCAACACTCACACCCAACCTCCAACACTCACACCCCACCTCCAACACCTCACACCTCCACCTCCAACACTCACACCCCCTCCCAACCTCCAACACTCACCTCCACCTCCTCCACACTCACACCCCACCTCCAACACTCACACCTGACCTCCAACACTCCTCACACCCGACCTGACAAAACAACACTCACACCCAACCTCCAACACTCACACCCCACCTCCAACACTCACACCCTCCACCTCCAACACTCACACCTCCACCCCACCTCCAAACACTCACACCTGACCTCCAACACTCACACCCCACCTCCAACACTCACACCCCACCTCCAACACTCACACCCCACCTCCAACACTCACACCTGACCACCTCCCAACACACACCTGACCTCCAACACTCACACCCAACCCCAACACTCACACCCCACCTCCAACACTCACCTGACCTCCAATACTCACACCCCACCTCCAACACTCACACCCTGACCTCCAACACTCACACCCCACCTCCAACACTCACACCCGACCTCCAACACTCACACCCAACCTCCAACACTCACACCCGACCTCCAACACTCACACCCGACCTCCAACACTCACACCTGACCTCCAACACTCACCATCTTCTAGTGTCCTCTTGGTCCTCCTGATCTTGTTGCTCCAGTATCCAGTGGTCAGTGAGGGTCGGGTGTCAATCTCCACCTCATACTGGGTGTACGGCCTCAAGCCGGTCTCCGTCCTACTGAAGTGTGGAGGCTCCTCATCAAAGTTAGGTTTAGGTGGGATGCGGATTTCCTGTTGCCCAGATTTAAAGTTACGTCATTTGATAATAGCTTCCAAAACAATAAATAAATATAACCCCGAACAACTCTAGATCTAGACCAGTTCTTGTAGACATGATTTGTAAAAAATGAAAAACCCGGCCTTCTGTTCCAGTGGTTGATATCATGATCAACAGTCCATGTCGTCACGGCAACATGAATGCCAAGCAACCAAGGTGAGCATGACTGAGTCATGGCATACACAGTATTTCTACTACAGTTGACCTTGGTGGTGGGTCAGAGGCCCATGACAGGTGACTTGAACAATCACTGTACCAATACACCTCTATATTGGAATACTACTTTCTAAAAAGTCATGATTGTTGCTCGTGTTTGCTGAGATGGAATGAGGTGAGGTGAGGTGAGGTGAGGTGAGGTGAGGTGAGGTGAGGTGAGGTGAAATTGGGTTTAACGTCGTGCTTGAGAATATTTCGCTCATATGACGACGTGTGTATGTGTATGTGCGGCTGCTTGTACTAGCCCAGACTTAAGCTGGTTTTATAGTGCTAGCCCACTGAGATACCACGCCGCAGTGAAGCATGAATACCCCACTCAGACACTTTATACTGACTCCGAGCCGACCAGTCCTTGTTGTACCCATTAATGCCGAGCGACAGGCAGGGACCAACAAGTACCATATTTTAACGTCTTTTGGTATGACGCGGTCGGGGATCGAACCCGCGACCTTCCGCTCTCCGGGCGGACGCTCTAACCACTACACCACGGAGGCGGTCATGAGATGGATGACTTTCAGAAAATAGCACATGTTCTGTTTTCATGCAACAGGTACAGGACCAGCACACAGGTTTCAAACCCTGGTCAATATGGGTACTTCAGTGTTAATTTCCAGCAAAAAGTGGCAGCTGTATTTGTCACATGAAGAAAATTAGTACATACAAAGATCATGGTTCAGGAACTACTGATGACAGAGTTGTCTCCCTTAGCCATGCCAGGAGTTACTGATATTAGGCTTGAGTCTCACCCATAATAAGCTATCTGATCTGTCAGCACCATGCTGCTGACAGAGAGACCTGCAGCATTTCAGTACTTTCCTCCACCCATGATGTCACCGAATATCTCCTCAAAACAAGTTAAACCCTTCCCACTCTCTTAATTTGCATAATTCTGCAGTCATAGAGATATCAGACAATGATATTTCGTATCCATGCACACAAAAGAAGCAGAATGGAATCATACCTTCCAGGCTGGGTCATCCTTTTCATGAAAACGAATTCGGTACATTTTCTCTCGATGGGGTCTGTTATGATTCCAGATCAAGGTGAAATTAGATTTTGTTACAGTGATGTTGATTACATTCACTGGATCAGGTTTAACTGGAAAACAGAATATCCATACAAATAAAGTTTTTAAAGCAATGTCACTTGTGATTTCTTCTCACCAATGTTCAGACTAATGTTGGCTTTATATAGGAGGTCAGGTGGTCATAGAAATATCGAGATCATCAGCAGTTCTCAGGCTAAATTAGTAAGAAATGACCTTGACCTTTAAAGTCAGCCATTTTTATCCCAACTATTTTGGCTATTATACATTATGTTTACATGGTTACCCTGATTCACCAATGGCAGTTTTGTCCAATCTTCATTCAGATATTGTGTAAAATTAAAGTATCTGAATTTCAAGAGATTGCCAACTCCAAACTGTGTTAGAATATCAATGGTTGATTAAAACTTACAACAGAACACCCAACAAGATCCTTACCAAGATCATTAGATTTAAAGGACGCTGGTTTGACATTTACACTATCATTTGTTCTCTTGTTCTTCACACGGACTGTATACACGATTTCCAGAGAGTTGTATCTTGAAAAGTAGCACCTCGTCTTGGTCTGGTTTGGACATAGAGCTGCCCTGTTGACATGCAAAAGGGAACCATGTCATGATATTGAAGACACGTATGTATGTATCTTTACTGCAATGGATGCGCCATTTAGGTGTAGATGCTAACACCGTTATCGAGCAAGTGATGAAGTTGTCTATCCATTGATATAGTGATCTTGATCATCATACCAGTTTCTAAATGCCACTCAAACAAGACATACAATACAATACAATACAATACAATACAATACCAAATCATCCAGGTGTTAATATATTTTAATCTATCACCACACCTGCAGGTATTGATGAATGTGAGATGATGAAACCTGTGGTTGATACCATAAGCAATAATTCATCCTGGCAGAGACAGAGACTATCACCATCTTTAGTTACGGTTGAAACTGGTAAAGGTGATCTTTTACCATCTTCATCTGCATGTACAAATATACACATCTAACTGTTAATTTTCTTCAAGCAGTTATAAATTACATACAGTGTTTATTAATTTTTGTCTCATGATCTTCTGAAATGTCATTTTCAGAGTGTAAACACTAAGTCAGAGGTAGGTACAGAATGATTATCTTCTTATAGCATGGCATTCATCACTGAAAGGGCACCATGCAAACACATTTGATACAATCTCAGGGAAGCTATGTATTGTATTAGTATACCTGAATAAAGAATCATGTTGTATAGTAGTAGGTATGGTGGCAATCAGAGACGGAGGAAGTTGGGCATTTGATCTTCCATTACTTGGTCTGCAGATACCAGACAAAATCAGGAGCAGATACAATAAAAAGTCTGCTTATCACGTTCATGAAGGTCTCCAGATCGTCTCCCTATTTTACATGATATGTTTTGTGATATTATTGGCTGATAACAGTAGGGTCTAACTGAAGAGACTGACTGAAGGGTCTAGCTGAAGAGACTGATTGAAGGATCTAGCTGAAGGGTGTGATTGAGTGGACTGACTGAAGGGTGTGATTGAGTGGACTGACTGAAGGGTCTAAGTGAAGGGTGTGATGGAGTGGACTGACTGAAGGGTGTGATGGAGTGGACTGACTGAAGGGTGTGATTGAGTGGACGGACTGAAAGGTCAAAGTGAAGGGTGTGATGGAGTGGACTGACTGAAGGGTGTGATGGAATTGACTGACTGAAGGGCATGATTGAGTGGACTGACTGAAGGGTGTAGCCGAAGGGTGTGATTGAGTGGACTGACTGAAGGGTGTGATCGAGTGGACTGACTGAAGGGTGTGATTGAGTGGACTGAAGGAGTCTAGCTGAAGGGTGTGAAGGGGTGTCTAGCTGAAGGGCTGAAGGGTGTGATTGAGTGGACTGATTGAAGGGTCTAGCTGAAGGGTGTGATTGAGTGGACTGACTGAAGGATCTAGCTGAAGGGTGTGATTGAGTGGACTGACTGAAGGGACTAGCTGAAGGATGTGATTGAGTGGACTGACTGAAGGGTGTGATTGAGTGGACGGACTAACGGGTGTAGCTGAAGGGTGTGATTGAGTGGACTGACTGAAGGGTGTGATTGAGTGGACTGACTGAAGAATCTAGCTGAAGGGTGTGATTGAGTGGACTGACTGAAGGGTGTGACTGGACTGAAGAATCTAGCTGAAGGGTGTGATTGAGTGGACTGACTGAAGAGGTGTGATGGAGCGGACTGACTGAGCTGAAGAGGTGTGATTGAGTGGACTGACTGAAGGGTCTGAAGGATCTGACTGAAGGAATGAAGGGTGTGGATTGAGACTGAAGGGTGTAGCTGACTGACTGAAGGATCTAGAAGGGTGTGATTGACTGGACTGACTGAAGGGTCTAGCTGAAGGGTGTGATTGAGTGGACTGACTGAAGCGTGTGTGACTGAGTGGGACTGACTGAAGGGTGTGATTGATGGACTGAGCTGAAGGGTGTGATGGAGTGGACTGACTGAAGGGTGTGATTGAATTGAGTGGACTGACTGAAGGGTGTGATGTGATGGAGTGGACTGACTGAAGGGTCTAGCTGAAGGGTGTGATTGAGTGGACTGACTGAAGGGTCTAGCTGAAGGGTGTGATTGAGTGGACTGACTGAAGGGTGCGATTGAGTGGACTGACTGAAGGGTGTGATTGAATGGACTGACTGAAGGGTGTGATTGAGTGGACTGACTGAAGGATCTAGCTGAAGGGTGTGATTGAGTGGACTGACTGAAGGGTCTAGCTGAAGGGTGTGATTGAGTGGACTGACTGAAAGGTGCGATTGAGTGGACTGACTGAAAGGTGTGATTGAGTGGACTGACTGAAGGGTCTAGCTGAAGGGTGTGATTGAGTGGACTGACTGAAGGGTGTGATTGAGTGGACTGACTGAAGGGTGTGATTGAGTGGACTGACTGAAGGGTGTGATTGAGTGGACTGACTGAAGGGTCTAGCTGAAGGGTGTGATTGAGTGGACTGACTGAAGGGTGTGATTGAGTGGACTGACTGAAGGGTCTAGCTGAAGGGTGTTATGGAGCGGACTGACTGAAGGGTCTAGCTGAAGGTGTCAGTGGAAGTGGATGACTGAAGGGTGTGATTGAGTGGATGAGTCTGAAGGGGTCTTAAGTCTACTATTATGATTCCCATCACCAACCCAAAGCTCTGACAATTAAATCTGCAAACCAACTAATAAACAGAAATGGCCAAAGTGTTGGAGGGGTTGAAGGAAGGTGTCAGTAGGAAGGACAGGATGAAGACACTGAGTTAGTGGATGAGTGAGTGAGTGAGAGTAGGGTTTGACTCCACTGTCGGCTCCACCTTATCAACTGGACGACCTTAATGCATACATCACTGTGTTCATGTCATGCAGAGAGATTGTGTTGTAAATGCAATGAACATTACCCAGTGAGATCTGTGGAATTATCACTGAAAAATTAGTGTTGAAAAATACAAACACAATGATTATGACCAGTTTAAGGTTGTCTGGTATTTCCAGAAGAGACTTGTATTGTATTATTGTTAACATTATTGTCAAAATATATATGATAGTTTTGTACAGCCTCCTGTAGCTGTGAAAACATTATAAGATAATGTTGTGTGTGAAGTGTGTTGACATTGATGGCTGGTGAAGTATTGTAAAAACTGGCTTGGCCATCTTCACCTGGTAAAGTATTGTCAATACTGTCACGATCTCTTTTTCATCTGGTGATCTATACTCGTCATATTGTCTCATGGTGAAGGGTATTGTCAATACTCATTGTCACATTGTCTCATGGTGAGGGTATTGACAGTACTCATTGTCATATTGTCTCATGGTGAAGGGTATTGTCAATACTCATTGTCATATTGTCTCGTGGTGAAGGGTATTGTCAATACTCACTGTCATATTGTGTCATGGTGAAGGGTATTGTCAACACTCATTGTCTCATGGTGAAGGGTATTGTCAATACTCATTGTCATATTGTCTCATGGTGAAGGGTATTGTCGACACTCATTGTCTCATGGTGAAGGGTATTGTCAATACTCATTGTCATATTGTCTCGTGGTTAAGGGTATTGTAGGAACTCATTGTCATATTGTCTTGTGGTGAAGGGTATTGTCAATACTCATTGTCATATTGTGTCATGGTGAAGGGTAATATCAACACTCATTGTCATATTGTCTCGTGGTGAAGGGTATTGTCAATACTCATTGTCATATTGTGTCATGTTGAAGTGTTATGTCAATACGCATTGTCTCATGGTGAAGGGTAGTGTCAATACTCATTGTCATATTGTCTTGCAGGGAAGATTATAGTCAATACGCATTGTCTCGTGGTGAAGGGTATTGTCAATACTCATTGTCATATTGTCTTGCAGGGAAGATTATAGTCAATACGCATTGTCTCATGGTGAAGGGTAGTGTCAATACTCATTGTCATATTGTCTTGCAGGGAAGATTATAGTCAATACACATTGTCTCATGGTGAAGGGTATTGTCAATACTCATTGTCATATTGTCTCATGGTGAAGGGTATTGTCAATACTCATTGTCACATTGTGTCATGGTGAAGGGTATTGTCAATACTCATTGTCATATTGTCTCATGGTGAAGGGTATTGTCAATACTCATTGTCTCATGGTGAAGGGTATTGTCAATACTCATTGTCATATTGTCTCATGGTGAAGGGTATTGTCAATACTCATTGTCATATTGTGTCATGTTGAAGGGTATTGTCAATACTCATTGTCACATTGTCTCATGGTGAAGGGTATTGTCAATACTCATTGTCACATTGTCTCATGGTGAAGGGTATTGTCAACACTCATTGTCATATTGTCTTGCAGGGAAGATTATAGTCAATACGCATTGTCTCATGGTTAAGGGTATTGTCACAACTCATTCTCATATTGTCTTGCAGGAAAGAGTTTAGTCAATACGCATTGTCTCATGGTGAAGGGTATTGTCAACACTCATTGTCTCATGGTGAAGGGTATTGTCAACACTCATTGTCATATTGTCTTGAAGGGAAGATTATAATCAATACGCATTGTCTCATGGTGAAGGGTATTGTCAATAGTCATTGTCATATTGTGTCATGGAGAAGGGTATTGTCAACACTCATTGTCATATTGTCTCATGGTGAAGGGTATTGTCAATACGCATTGTGTCATGGTGAAGGGTATTGTCAACCCTCATTGTCTCATGGTGAAGGGTATTGTCAACACTCATTTTCATATTGTCTCATTGTGAAGGGTATTGTCAATAAGCATTGTCTCATGGTGAACGGTATTGTCAACACTCATTGTCATGTTGTCTCATTGTGAAGGGTATTGTCAACACTCATTGTCATATTGTCTCATGGTGAAGGGTATTGTCAACACTCATTGTCATATTGTCTCATGGTGAAGGGTATTGTCAACACCCATTGTCATACTGTCTCATGGTGAAGGGTATTGTAAATACACATTGTCATATTGTGTCATAGAGAAGGGTATTGTCAATACTCATTGTCATATTGTCTCGTGGTGAAGGGTATTGTCAATACACATTGTCACATTGTGTCATGGAGAAGGGTATTGTCAATACTCATTGTCTTATTGTCTCGTGGTGAAGGGTATTGTCAATACTCATTGTCACATTGTCTCGTGGTGAAGGGTATTGTGAACACTCATTGTCATATTGTCTCGTGGTGAAGGGTATTGTCAATACTCATTGTCATATTGTGTCATGGAGAAGGGTATTGTCAATACTCATTGTTATATTGTGTCATGGAGAAGGGTACTGTCAATGCTCATTGTCACATTGTCTCGTGGTGAAGGGTACTGTCAATGCTCATTGTCATATTGTGTCATGGAGAAGGGTACTGTCAATACTCATTGTCATATTGTGTCATGGTGAAGGGTAATATGAATACTCATTGTCATATTGTCTCATGGTGAAGGGAATTGTCAATACTCATTGTCACATTGTCTTGTGGTGAAAGGTATTGTTAATACTCATTGTCACATTGTCTTGTGGTGAAGGGTATTGTTAATACTCATTGTCACATTGTCTCATGGTGAAGGGTAATATCAATACTCATTGTCATATTGTCTCATGGTAAAGGGTAATGTCAATACACACTGTCAAGGGTATTCAATACTCATTGTCATATTGTCTCATGGTGACGGGTAATGTCAGTACACACTGTCATATTGTCTTGTGGTGAAGGGTAATGTCAGTACACGCTGTCATATTGTCTTGTGGTGAAGGGTATCATCAATACTCATTGTCATATTGTCTCATGGTAAAGGGTAATGTCAATACACACTGTCATATTGTATCGTGGTGAAGGGTAATGTCAGTACACACTGTCATATTGTATCGTGGTGAAGGGTATTGTCAATACACACTGTCATATTGTATCGTGGTGAAGGGTATTGTCAATACACACTGTCATATTGTATCGTGGTGAAGGGTATTGTCAATACACACTGTCATATTGTATCGTGGTGAAGGGTTTTGTCAATACACACTGTCATATTGTATCGTGGTGAAGGGTATTGTCAATACACACTGTCATATTGTATCGTGGTGAAGGGTATTGTCAATACACACTGTCATATTGTATCGTGGTGAAGGGTATTGTCAATACACACTGTCATATTGTATCGTGGTGAAGGGTATTGTCAATACACACTGTCATATTGTATCGTGGTGAAGGGTAATGTCAATACACACTGTCATATTGTATCGTGGTGAAGGGTATTGTCAATACACACTGTCATATTGTATCGTGGTGAAGGGTATTGTCAATACACACTGTCATATTGTATCGTGGTGAAGGGTAATGTCAATACACACTGTCATATTGTATCGTGGTGAAGGGTATTGTCAATACACACTGTCATATTGTATCGTGGTGAAGGGTATTGTCAATACACACTGTCATATTGTATCGTGGTGAAGGGTATTGTCAATACACACTGTCATATTGTATCGTGGTGAAGGGTATTGTCAATACACACTGTCATATTGTATCGTGGTGAAGGGTATTGTCAATACACACTGTCATATTGTATCGTGGTGAAGGGTATTGTCAATACACACTGTCATATTGTATCGTGGTGAAGGGTATTGTCAATACACACTGTCATATTGTATCGTGGTGAAGGGTATTGTCAATACACACTGTCATATTGTATCGCGGGTGTCAATACACACTGTCATATTGTATCGTGGTGAAGGGTATTGTCAATACACACTGTCATATTGTATCGTGGTGAAGGGTATTGTCAATACACACTGTCATATAGTATCGTGGTGAAGGGTATTGTCAATACACACTGTCATATTGTATCGTGGTGAAGGGTATTGTCAATGCTCATTGTCCTAAGTTATTTTGTAGTTCAGTCTTGTCTGACAAATTTCAGTACTCTCTACCGACATCAAGAGGCTAACTAATGAAGGTCAACCGTTCGATGTAAAGTTCCAAAGTGCTTTGTTCTCCTAGTGACTGGGAGAGTGAGTGTAGCCTGCAGTCTTCTAGCTGTATCCTGGTGTCCTATAAGCTAACAAACTGAATCATCATTCATCTACCATCCAGGCAAACACAACCTGTGAAGGTGCGGGTTAGAATGTGCCTTCAGTAACCCATGCTTGTCGTAAGAGGCGACTAACGGGGTCGGGTGGTCAGGCTCGCTGACTTAGTTAAAACATCATCAGTTCCCAATTGCACAGGCTGATGCTTATGCTGTTGATCACTGAATTGTCTGGTGCAGACTCGATTATTTATAGACCGCCGCCATATAGCTGGACTATTGCTGAGTGCAGCGTAAAACTAAACTCACTTACTCACTCCAGACAACCACCAGGGACTGGGGGTCTATTCATAATCAGCCCTGGGAAACAATCAAGTCATGCAGGTGGAACCATTGTGACATTTTGTTCCTGTGAAACTTCAAGTGGACCATATACACCATACTGGTCAAACAACATGTCAGAGTCGAACTCGGGTCTTTGGTGTGATGAGTGAATGCTTTAACCACTCTGCCACCCCATCGCCCCACAACATGTCACAAACTACAGTCTGTCTGGTTTCATTTGAGACTGATGAATTGCTCACTAACACAAAATCTAATAATTGCAACAAAACCAAATTTTGCACAGTCACATGAAATCTACAGACTAACTATGATGATTTGTCTCATAATTTTGGACACCTGAATGAAAAAGTTGTTTAACAAATGACCATTATTTTGTTGTCAATTTTTGCTATTTTTTATAAAGGGGGGGACCACTTGCTGGTAGAACAGCCGGGTAATCACACGTGCAATTCAGACCCCTGGAGTTGCACTTTGGAAACCATGCCAGTGGTTGATGAAATGAGCACCGATCCATCCAGTCAGAGCAGGATGACCAACAATAAACCAAGTCCTTACAACCAATTTATCTGTTGGCCTCATGGGCCCAAAATAGGTCCATTTCTGTCCTGGACACTAAACCCATCTGATTGTGTTAGCTGTTTTGGAAAAAGTACATTTAATGCTTATCTATATTAAACAGGCAAATCTTAATACATACCTTCTCCCCATTTTGAACAGAAACATTACTTCAATATTGGAAGCATTGACATAGTTTACACCAAGGTCCCAGTGACAGGTCAGTGGAGAGTCCCAGTTGTCCTTCACACAGGTCATGTTCACCACTGGCTCAGGGTAATCTGGAACAGTGATAATCATAGTGATGTTACAACGGGCTTAGGGTAATCTGGAACAGTGATAATCACAGAGTGATGTTACAACGGGCTCTGGAACAGTGATAATCAGGGTAATCTGGAACAGTGATAATCACTGTGAGTGATGTTACAACAAGCTTAGGGTAATCTGGAACAGTGATAATCACAGAGTGATGTTACAACAAGCTTAGGGTAATCTGGAACAGTGATAATCACAGAGTGATGTTACAACAAGCTTAGGGTAATCTGGAACAGTGATAATCACAGAGTGATGTTACAACAAGCTTAGGGTAATCTGGAACAGTGATAATCACAGAGATGATGTTACAAATCACAGCTTAGGGTAATCTGGAACAGTGATAATCACAGAGTGATGTTACAACAAGCTTAGGGTAATCTGGAACAGTGATAATCACAGAGTGATGTTACAACAAGCTTAGGGTAATCTGGAACAGTGATAATCACAGAGTGATGTTACAACAAGCTTAGGGTAATCTGGAACAGTGATAATCACAGAGTGATGTTACAAACAAGCTTAGGGTAATCTGGAACAGTGATAATCACAGAGTGATGTTACAACTGGCTCAGGGTAATCTGGAACAGTGATAATCACAGAGTGATGTTACAACAAGCTTAGGGTAATCTGGAACAGTGATAATCACAGAGTGATGTTACAACAAGCTTAGGTAATCTGGAACAGTGATAATCACAGAGTGATGTTACAACAAGCTTAGGGTAATCTGGAACAGTGATAATCACAGAGTGATGTTACAACAAGCTTAGGGTAATCTGGAACAGTGATAATCACAGAGTGATGTTACAACAAGCTTAGGGTAATCTGGAACAGTGATAATCACAGAGTGATGTTACAACAAGCTTAAGGTAATCTGGAACAGTGATAATCACAGAGTGATGTTACAACTGGCTCAGGGTAATCTGGAATCACTGAGTGATGTTACAACTGGCTTAGGGTAATCTGGAACAGTGATAATCACTGAGTGATGTTACAACTGGCTTAGGGTAATCTGGAACAATGATAATCACAGAGTGATGTTACAACCGTTAAGGGTAATCTGGAACAGTGATAATCACAGAGTGATGTTACAACTGGTTCAGGGTAATCTGGAACATTGATAATCACAGAGTGATGTTACAACTGGCTCAGGGTAATCTGGAACAGTGATAATCACAGAGTGAGTTACAACTGGCTTAGGGTAATCTGGAACAGTGATAATCACTGAGTGATGTTACAACTAGCTTAGGGTAATCTGGAACAGTGATAATCACTGAGTGATGTTACAACCGGTTAGGGTAATCTGGAACAGTGATAATCACAGAGTGATGTTACAACAGGTTAGGGTAATCTGGAACAGTGATAATCACAGAGTGATGTTACAACTGGTTCAGGGTAATCTGGAACAGTGATAATCACAGAGTGATGTTACAACTGGCTCAGGGTAATCTGGAACAGTGATAATCACTGAGTGATGTTACAACTGGCTCAGGGTAATCTGGAACATTGATAATCACTGAGTGATGTTACAACTAGCTTAGGGTAATCTGGAACAGTGATAATCACAGAGTGATGTTACAACCGGTTAGGGTAATCTGGAACAGTGATAATCACAGAGTGATGTTACAACTGGCTTAGGGTAATCTGGAACAGTGATAATCACAGAGTGATGTTACAACAAGCTTTGTGTAATCTGGAATAGTGACCAATCTTGCCCTGGATGGCATGTTATCAATGACCAATCTTGCCCCGGATGGCATGTTATCAATGACCCATCTTGCCCTGGATGGCATGTTATCAATGACCCATCTTGCCCTGGATGGCGTGTTATCAACGACCTATCTTGCCCTGGATGGCATGTTATCAATGACCTATCTTGCCCTGGATGGTACAATATCAGACACCCATCTGGATGGTGTGTTTGATGTGTGTTTGTTGCGTAATGCTTCAGTAAGCAATGATGCTTTTATTTTTACAGCAGCCTGAAAATAATTGAGTCCAGTTAACAACTTGACCAAACAAACCAGTAACTGCTACAAATGTCACCCCATCGCCTTAGCTTGACCACCCAGTTCATGTCGTGTCCCAGACCCAGACCCATTTATATCCCACCGTCTACAATCACTGATATCTGGACACATGTAACCCAATATACACTCAAGTCAAAGGCCAGTAAGTGGACTCACGTTCAACCTCCACCACGCGGGATCCCACAAACAGACTGCCATCGCCCTCATCGGTTCCTACCCAGCAGTAGTACTTCCCAGCATCATGTAGAGAGCCGATGGTCCGGTTTGTCGCAGCCGTTCGGTCGTCAATGATGGTCATGCTTACATTCAAGTTGTCCCCCTTCTCCAGAAACAACAGGCCTGAGTCGTAAGTCGTGGAACTATTCAGACGACAGGTTAGCCGCAGCTGTTGACCAATTAAAACATAGTCCCTCCTGGAGTTGACGGAACCAGTTCTGTAACCCAACAACATGTTTTCAGAAGGTTGTTATACCTAATACCATCTTGCCTGAAAGGTGCGATATCAGATAGAACCTTGCCCTGAAGGTGATATCAGATAGCACCTTGCCCTGAAGGGTGTGATATCAGATAGCACCTTGCCCTGAAGGGTGTGATATCAGATAGCACCTTGTCCTGAAGGGTGTGATGTCAGATAGCACCTTGCCCTGAAGGGTATGATATCAGATAGCACCTTGCCCTGAAGGGTGTGATATCAGATAGCACCTTGCCCTGAAGGGGGTGATATCAGATAGCACCTTGCCCTGAAGGGTGTGATATCAGATAGCACCTTGTATTGAAGGGTGTGATATCAGATAGCACCTTGTATTGAAGGGTGTGATATCAGATAGCACCTTGCCCTAAAGGGGTGATATCAGAGAGCACCTTGCCCTAAAAGGGGTGATATCAGATAGCACCTTGCCCTGAAGGGTGTGATATCAGATAGCACCTTGTATTGAAGGGTGTGAGTATACGTTAGTACCCTCCTCAAGGGTGATATGGATTTCAACGCTCGAGCCGTCAGGCGAGAGCGTTGAATCCATATCACCCGCAGAGGGGGGGGTGCTAACCTACTTATACCACGTGGGCGCCAAATGGACTCGTACATTGCTTGTTGCACGTGTGTTTCCTGCACCGCCAAGGTTGTTATCCACATATCAACCTCTGCACGTGCAGATAGAAGGTTGATACACAGAAAATCAACCTGCCAGAACAATGGACATAACATACCCTAGTGGTATAATATCAGATAGCACCTTGTATTGAAGTGTTTGGTACCACTGCCAGTCAGTATTTCAACTCTTGTATAGAACATAAAAGATTTAAGACTTCTGCTCAAAACACATTGAAAGCTGAAACTAATCCAGATCACCTTTGTTCATTGAACTTCATCCTCTATACAGGGCTCATATTGTTGTAGACCTACACTACGCCCTGCATCCATCACAAGAGACAATTCCAACATATTCCAACAATTTTGAGCATTTGGCATATCCAAAAGAAAAATGTAATTTTTCAAGTAAAATTGATATTTTTATACTTATCCTGACTCATGATCTTTTGCTTATCTCCCTTTTCCTTGCGAATGGTAGTGGAACACTTGAATCCCTTGAAGTTCCCGAAGCGGACGTAAAAATACACTCACCCACGAGTTACCTCCCTTTTCCCACGTAAACAGTCATGTGACCAGCCTTACTTGTCACTCTCTCCTGATTTTTCTGCCCAAGCACTTGGATCTGCTGTGAAATCCGAAATGTTTCCAGCGGGGAGGTCGGGAGGGCTTGACCTCATGAGTCAGGATAAGTATCTTTTGCTTATAGAATCCGATGGATTGATGGCGGGTCAGGCCACTTCCTGGATTCATCAGCTGTCCTTAGATACGTCCTGTATCCCCCCCATGGGATCTGCGTACGTAGCAGCATTTCCAAGATCCTATTCTTCCAACTTCCGTTATAACTCGGGGGGGGACCACTTCTTGTCTTACTTCCATCTCAGACAAGTTGAATCGTCTTGATTCATGTGGCTTCAGATAAACTAGTAACTTCTTATTACTAGATATCTTATAACAACCCAAAGATTATGATTACATCTTTATCATAAATGAGTTGCAACCCCTTCACGTACAGGTAAGATCTTTACCCGTACAGGATCTTTAATCATTCATGCTAGCCTGTCCTGGACTGTGCGCATGGACTTTCAAACTAATACTTTTCTTTAGTAAAAGTTATCAACAAGTCAACGTGATAAAGGGTGAGATTTTCCAACTCAGCTCCTTTGTGAAGCCCTTAGTAGCTGTGCTACAACGAGAGGCCCATATTAGTGAATGCCTGAGACGTCTTCAGTGGCTATGTCTCGGAGGTAGTGGTTGGAAAACACTGGGTCCGACTTCTAAAAGCAGCCCTCCATAATTGCTGATATAGAGCAATTTCCATGCAGAGCTAGTGTTGACGCCAATGCTATGACTTCGTGTGGGTTGGAAGCTCTAGGAGGTTCTAGTCCTGCTGCTTTATAGGCTCTCAATATGACGGCTCTCATCCAGAATGATATCGTCGTTCTTCAGACTTCTGCTGATGTCTCTGTGGATAATGGGATGAACAGGTGCTTGAATTTTTGTCTCCTTGTCTCAGTCTTTTGAAGATATATCTTCAGGGCTCTGACCGGACACAAGGATAGGTCTTCTACATCCTCTGGGCCAAGGATTGCAGATAGCGCTGGTATGTGGAACTGTCTATCTGGCTGACCAGGTAGTTGGTTCTTGGCAATGAAGTCCCATCTAAGTCCCAGATGAACTGCAGCATGTTGCCCCGTGTTGAATCTGGTTTGACCAAAGTCCAGCACATGTATCTCTGATATTCGAGCTGCCGTAGCTAGCGCAAGCAGGAACAGAGTTTTCTGTGTCAGCAGCTCCAGGGTAGTCTGGTCTAGATGATATTCCGCCATTGGAGGATGAGTAGCTTTCATCGCAGTGAAGCCATTCCGCCTTGCATAAGTCTCAAACTTCAGCCATTTGTCATCATACAGGTTACGTGTAGATCTGCGTAACCCTAGCGTTACTGCCTTGGCTGCCCTGGCAGAGTATCCTCTTTTCTTCAAACATGTTTTGACATGGTCCACACGTGTAGCTGGAACAGTGTTGGGTTCCTGTGGACTTGCTTGGTGTGCGGATGTATGAGTAGGTTCGGCCAATCTGGTGACTTGATTGTTGGACTTCTGAGATCTTCTATTAGGTCTAGGAAACATACTCTCGCTGGCCAGTATGGCGTGACCAAGGTCAGTTGTAGCGCCTGTGTCTGTTTGATCTTCAACAGTACTTTCGGTAGTAATATCAGTGGTGGAAACACATAAGCGTTTAGTCCTTCCCATGATATGTTAAGTGCATCTGTTGCCCAGGCTTGAGGATCTGGAACTGGTGAGACGAACGTCTGTAGTTGTTTGTTGAACCTCGTGGCAAACAGGTCTATGCATGGGGATCCTATTTCCTTTATGATGAGCCAAAATGCTTCTGGATGGAGTATCCATTCCGTAGGTGACGGGTGCAGTGGTCGGGAGAGAGCGTCTGCAAGCACGTTCTTGGCTCCCGGGTATGTGACACGCCTATATCCAGTTGTTATGGAACTTGAATGTGAGCTGTAGTAGGCTTGGTGATCTTGTAGATCCTTGCCGATTTATGGAGAATGCCACTGTAGAGTTGTCCGTGTGGACCAACAGCATTCTGTTGATCAGCGAGCTCGATCATAGTTGTAAGGCGTTGATCACAGCTTTCATCTCCAGCAGATTGATGTGAAGATGCTGCTCTGTTTGGACCACTTCCTTGATGCAACTTGATTGTTGAGATGTGCACCCCAACCTTGTATCGATGCGTCTACGTAGAGATGTGTGTCGAAGGCCGGCTCTTGTAAATAGGTCCCTCCGCAGACGTTCGACCTGTGGGTCCACCAAAGTAGGTACCTCTTAAGATTGTCTGGCAGCAAGATAGGGTCGACGCTGTCCAAATGTTTTGTCAGGAACCGTTGCAGCGGCCTTAGTTTTAATCTTCCTGTGCCAGTCAAGTCCTGCGCCGAGGTTAGAGACCGAGTAGACATTGCCATGTTCGTAGTGTTAACGGAGAGATGACTGCTTGTGGAATCATAGCTTGTATCTTGATCCAATGATCTTCTGGGACCACAATTCAATTCTGTGTTGTGATAATTCTTATTCCCAACAATTGAAGATCTTGTTTGATTCTAACTCCAACTTCATCAGGTTCACTAGCCATCCTAGTTGCGTGAGCAACTTAATTGTGAAGTTAAGCTGCTGTCTGAGTTGATTGGCACTTTGAAGAACCTGTATGCCGTCGTCCAGATAACCGGCACTATGTAGACCTCGATGCTGCAGATAGGTGCCGATAGGCTAGGCTTGGTTATTCGTATGAATAATCATAAAGCCGACAATATTCCAAACGATAGGACGTTCAATTGGAAGTGCTAACCTCTGATTGCAGTGATGATACATCATTCTTCCCCCTTATATACGCAGGCGATCTGTGTTGATCAGCGTACATCGAAGCGTTGTCTATTTATAGCAAGGCTGGCTCCAGTGTAGCATCGAAGGGGACAGGTACTCGTACCGACTTTTATCAGCGACATCTTCCAAAATAAACATCGTTTATCCTGCTGTCAAGGCTAGACATCTATTAGATTCCCATGATGATAACAGGCCGTAGTTGTATACTGTTTCCAAGGCTGTCGAAGTCATCAGCGTATATGCAGTACGTCTCTGTTGGGTTGGAGTGAGTGAGTGAATGACAATATCTGCAGGCCATCTGCTACCCGGTATAAGACCTCAGCATCCGTATTGATGAAGGGATTCCTTTCATCAAGTAGGTTGTTGTCCGAAACTGCAGCTATACAGGTATAAGGTTTGTGCAGGTTGTAGAGTTGTGCAGGCTGTAAACTGCAGAGATCACACATGTTGTAGATCTTTTTTTTTTGAGTTTTAAACTCTGACAAAACCATCCGTTTTCATCATTGCTTCGTTTTATTCAGCCGTATGGTAATAGAGTCGACGTCAACATCCTGCCTGTTGATGTAAAGATTTGTTAACCCTAGGGTTCGCGAACCCTGTAGATGTCTGCGTTGCTGTTATCTGCCTGTAGATCTGAGAGTTCTCGAACCTTGTAGATGTCTGTAGCTTTCTCACAGCTGTGCGTAGGTTAGAAGGTACCTTGGATATAGGTTCAATCGGAGGAATAGTCACCAAGTCAAAGTCGTCATTACGCATCCTATAAGTGTAGACTTCATCTATATCCTTAGAAGGAGACTCCACGTTCAAACCATTGGCTATCCAATCTGTAACCTCTGAGTCCGGGAAGACGAAGTCTGGTTATTCATCAGTTATCTCCTGATCGGTAGAGCTATGCCTCCGCGAATCATCCTTCTGCGAACCTTATCCCTTCTCGAACCTCAATCATCCTTTCGTGAACTGAAGATTCCTCCCTTCGCGAACGTCTTTCTTGAGAGTCCTATCTTCGCTAACCTATATCTGTAGATTCATCTCTTCGCAAACTTCTGTGATGTGAGCTTTCTCTTTGCACACGTCTGTTGCTAGATGTATCCTTTCCCGAAGCTCTGTGATGTGAGCCTTCTCTTCGCTAACCTCTGTCTCATGATGAGTGACTTCATGAAACCTCTGTGAGAGATAAGAGATCTCGATCTAGAGCAGCTAGATGTAGGAGATGGATCCTTCAATGTTTTCGAACGTTGAGGGTTCGCAGATGTAGAATGATGAGTAGGCATCTCATGTCTTCTATCCTCCTCCAAGATGACAGAGTCGTCCGACTGTGGAGACCTTCACAAAGGTGTACGTTTGCAACATAGTCTTGAGGCGTAGTTCTCTGAGGAGTAGGTTCGCGCAGGTCCGTAGGTTTGCGCACGATGTCAGTAGATGAGAGGCTTCGCCGAGCCTTCGCTTCTTCCTGGAACCTACGTTCCATCATGGCCATCATCTGGTTGGTGAATTGTCTCATAATTTCACCCGGATCGAGTTCTGCATTGATTGAAGCTGCTGCGGTGTAGAAGAAGCGTTCGCGATGAGTGGTGTGCCTCGACTTCACTCTGTTGAGAAGTTGGTGGTAGTTCGTCAAACAGCTGGCCTGCTGTGACCGTTGCAGGAGACGATCTAGTAGTCGTGAAAGTCGATTGAGTCGCCGATGTCGTAGGTACTTAGGGTATAAGTAAAGGAGGATCATCAAAAAACATCTACTTCACGCGGAGGTAATATCTCTTCGTTGAAGGATTTCTGATGCATTGACTTACTAGGCCGCGTAGATTACCCTCCGAACTGGTAACAGATGCTTTCTTCTGCGACGTAGAAGAAGACGACGTCTTTTTCTTGGCTTGAGTCGGAGTCAACTGCATTGTAGCCGATCTCTTCTTGGCCCCTTTACCAGCAGACTGCCCCTGCAACGTACTCAACATAGCACCAGTATTATGAATCTCCGCAGTAGCAATCAACATACGGTTTGCAGGCTGATCTCCTGTTTTATCAGCCGTGACTTGAAATGACTTCCTCACCCGATCCATGGCACGTCTCTAGATATAAGACAAATATTGATTAAATTGTAGATTTGATAAATCAACACAATAAGTACAACTCAAGCTGGAAGAACATGGTTTTATGCACGAAAGGCATTGGGGGTGAGGATCAGCCATGGATAACCTGTGCCTGCAAACACTGCAAGATTTCATGAAATGTAAACAAAGTTACATAAACGATGAAATTATGACACAAATACAAATAATTTTTACAAAAAATACGTAGTAGTCTATGTCAAATCCATACACAGCGTAATTTTGAAGAATAGGACCTAAATAAAAAGGATATAATGCCATATACGGGACTCCAGTGCTCGCCCAACCATCCACTTGGGCGAAAAGGGAGAGAGTGACAAGTAAGGCTGGTCACATGACTGAGAGAGGTCACTCGTGGGTGAGTGTATTTTTACATCCCCTTCAGGAACTTCAAGGGATTCAAGTGTTTCACTACCATTCGCAAGGAAAAGGGAGAAAAGCAAAAGATCATGAGTCAGGATAAGAAAAATATAAAGCTTGTACAAAGGTTGTTTATTGCTTGTCTATATGGAAGGATTTTACCATTACTTTATGTATCAAACGGACAGTACTCTTGTGTTTGTGACAATTATGTTTCAACAATATTTCTTTTTAATTACTCTATTTTGTTGGTTATGAAATGTTTGTATTTATTGATATATCACAGCATATTCAAAAGTTAAAAAACAATGAAATGAAACGTGAGCTGACAATAGTAACAGTACGAGAGAGAGAGAGAGAGAGAGAGAGAGAGAGAGGGGGGAAAGAGAGAGAGAGTCTTGTAATTTCACAAAAACTTTATTTTAATTAATGGGGACCGGCAGACATGTTGTTGACATCGCCAAACTACCATTGAAATGGTTTGTAACATGTATTCTGATTGGCTAATGAAAATCCATCCTTGATAATCTCCAGGATATACGTTACGAATCCTCTCCACTATACCCTGGATGCATCCACAGCTTGGTCCGATGATTTTATTACCTCTCTTTGCTGGCTTTTTAACCAGTAAGGTGTCTACGCTGGGAAGTTGAGAGAACCAATCACAACTCACTTACGCTTCTTAAATTATCTAACCGTTTAAACTTGGCAACACAATTGATGCACAGGTACTCTTAATGAGGTAGAAGGAGTTCTTTCATATATATTTTTAAAGTTTCAGATCTGTCAGTTTGTCTGTATTATTTCCCAAAATATCTGAGTGGCACTGCGAACAAACCATCGCGACTGCAACCGCTATCTTTGTTGACACACTCGGATGTAAAGGTTGCTTTGCTGATTGGCTACAGTGAGAATGCGGAGCCAGCAAAGGGAGGTAATAAAGTTATCGGGCCAAGACGTGGATGCATCCAGGGTATAGTGGAGAGTGGTCGTAACGTATACCCTGGAGATTATTGAGGATGCTGAAAATCAACAATCATGGAAATCGATCCAAGGACAACCGAAATGTTTTATACAAAACACTGCAAATATGAACATGTTTGCAACAAATATATTTGATGTAAGAAACAGGTAAAGAGTTGTTTTGTAAAGTCCGACCACAAACCCAAGTCACATCTTACCTCCAAGCGGCCATTCTGCTGCAGCAGCTGGGAACCAGCGTCATGAACAACACAGGAACAATGTTCATGGACATGTTGAATCTACAGACTTCTTCAGTCCAGTCCAAGAACTGCAGGATTCACAGATGGCCCAGGGACTGTCATGAGACTAACATGAGACACACACATCTTTACATGAGACACTTCACGTCCAGCACAAATCATCAGAGACTATCACACATCTTCACGTTCAGCACATGCCAAGATAATGTTCTCTTCATGAACTCTGGTTGATGAAATCTACAGACTGACTGGCATCCCACATATACAAGGATCATTATCACAGGAGACACCAAACTTGACACATAAAACAAATTAAATCTCTTTCTGAGAACTGTAAGTATTATTCCAGACCAACACGAGCTAACACAGATGTCTTTCTGGTTCAGGACAAATGACTGTAAACAGGACACAAATGGCTTCATGTTCAGTGACACACATATTGCAAAGGATGGGAGTATTCAGGTGTAAAAATGTCTGTTTCCCTCAGGCAGTGTAATAAATAGGTTGACTAGAAATCTTGTCTGTAATCTTCACAGCAATAAGTAGTAGCACCATCACATGTCATGTAGCTGTAGATCAGAAGCTGTATATCAGTTGATATATATCCTCAAAGTACGTCCTGTGACCTCAACGATGTCATCTGGCTTGGGCAGACATTGCCATAGTTACTATCACTAAACATGGATATTTTTCAGATTTTGAAAAACGATTGAGTGTTTATGATCCGTTATCTGAAATAAATATGGCACTGTCACACGGCAAGTTGAAAATAAATAGTTTTAGAGATTAGGGAAAAGTTATCCTATATGAAATACTTTCATTCTGTTGAGAAAATAATTTTCACAATTTCACTGTTTGACATCACAGATCAACATCCAATTTTGGATTGGTGATTAGCATGACCACATTCTCGACTTGCATTCACTGCAAGGTGGCAGCATAATATGGCGCTGTTCCCTGGACAGTGACCCAGGTCGCCACCGTTGTCTTCGTAGCTGTACTTCTGCCATCAAAGTCAGATATGTCCTTAAACCTGTGAAACAGAAAACAAAAAAGTATATTCCGCTTATTATAATTATATCAGCTTTATTATAATTATATCAGCTTTATTATAATTATGAAAAATTTCAACCACAAGTATATATAAAATATTAAACATGAAACAAAGGTTAAGTGGAAATAGCACGGAGTAGAGCACTATTGATCTCCTGGTACAATGAATCAGGCAGAACCTTTAGCCATCAGCAAGGTGAAGTATACAACTGACACAGTGGCTACTGGTAAGCCTCCCAATGTGGACAATGTCATGTGAATGAGCAGTATGAAAGTACAAGGTCTGAAAACTGCGGCTTTAAAGAGGTTATTTAAGATAGGCAGACAAGAGGCTTCGATGCTTAGACATTTCTATTCTGAATGTTAGGGGCCGTTCATAATTTATGGCTAGGGGTGTGTGGATGATTTTTATGGAGAAGCATGTACGATGTGAGTGACCCTCCTACAATTTATGTACAAAATAAGTGACCCCCCTTGCATTTCAGGTACAAAATCAATGACCCCCTACCCCTTCCCATATTTCTTAAGCATAATATTTCAATATTTTTATGTACAAAATTGCTGACCCCCCTAGTACATGTGTACAAAATTGCTGACCCCCCTAGTACATGTGTACAAAATTGCTGACCCCCCTAGTACATGTGTACAAAATTGTTGACCCCCCTAGTACATGTGTACAAAATTGCTGACCCCCCTAGTACATGTGTACAAAAGTGTTATCCACCCTACCTCCCCAGAACAAAATGGATGACCCCCACTTGAAATCACCATCACCACCCCATAGATTTACATAATCCAACAAGAGATTACTGAACACAGTGGGTAAAGATCTGTTTATGACCCAGTGTCGATACTCACAGTGACAAAGGTGTTATTTTAAGCCGATTCATTACACCCCAGGCAGGATAGTCACAAGTGAGTTTGTTTGTTGCTTAAAGTTGTACTCAACAATTGGAGCCATTGGTTTTATATTAGCTGACAACCTGACAATTTATTTAATATCTAGTTCATTTTATTTCATCTGTCCTTGCCCTTCAAATCCATTTAACATATTTCCATTATTCTTCATGATCATGCAACAAATTACCTGTCTGAAAATAATGTCCAAATATATCATTTTCAACTCCCTGGGAAATATACACCCTGTAAAAATCTCAGTTAACAGTCACAAACCAAGTCATTGTCTCCCTGTCCAGCAAGTCTTTGATTTTGTCAACACTTTCATCTGATTAATAGAAGCATGGTTTATTGGTGACCAAGTCAGCCACAGGCTCCGGACTCAATCAGATGAATATATAAATACCTTCCAGAAAGTACAGAAAAGTAAAACAAAAAGAAACGTGCAGATTCTGGGACTTTAGGGGGTTGAGAACCCCGACTCCCAGCGTAATGCACCCAATCCCTCACACACAAATTCAGCGATATAACCTACCCATTGACTTCTTTGAGTGGCATTGTTAGAAGTTGGAAGTCAGATAGAACAAGTATATATGGATAAACCTGGGGAGGTTATATAGAACAAGTATATATGGATAAACCTGGGTAGGTTATATAGAACAAGTATATATGGATAAACCTGGGTAGGTTATATAGAACAAGTATATATGGATAAACCTGGGTAGGTTATATCGAACAAGTATATATGGATAAACCTGGGTAGGTTATATAGAACAAGTATATATGGATAAACCTGGGTAGGTTATATCGAACAAGTATATATGGATAAACCTGGGTAGGTTATATAGAACAAGTATATATGGATAAACCTGGGTAGGTTATATAGAACAAGTATATATGGATAAACCTGGGTAGGTTATATCGAACAAGTATATATGGATAAACCTGGGTAGGTTATATAGAACAAGTATATATGGATAAACCTGGGTAGGTTATATAGAACAAGTATATATGGATGACAACTTCTTTTATTGTAAAGCACGACATTTCCATACAGGTTCTTGTATCATTTTCAAGTGAGAATGGTACAGGGAGAGAACAGGTGATATATACTGAACAGCAAACGAAACGCAAGTTTCGAAAAAATGAAATCACATGAAGGTAAGCGTTCATGTTTATGGAACATTCATGGTAAAGTGACGTAATGATCCAAGATGAGATGATGTCATGCAATTTGACGTCCATACAGACCATTCGCTCAAACACACTAACAGTGCAGCAAAACCATAATTTTAGCACGTGCATCGACAGTTCTGGATGAAAAGCATGCATTTCACTCTGAGGTATCCTTTATAATGGTTTGTGTCAAAAACAGTTCTGTATTGACGCTAGGAGGTGTACACGCCACACAAATGATGCCTACACTAACGACCGAGCAGAGGGGAATGGCCATTGGAAAGTTGCATGGAGGTAGCTCTGCAACCGCTGTAGCTAGACAATTGGGCTGCCATCTTACCACCATTACACCACTTGCTCAACGTCATCAGCAAACCGGGGTTGCTGCTGATCGTCTCCGTAACTGACGGCAACAAGTGAAATCTCATGCGCAAGATCGGTTCATCCGGGTCACTCATCTAAGGAACCGACCAGTAACAGCAGCCTTAGTTCATGGGTCAAGGGGAGCAGTGTCCAGCGATACAATTAGGCGTCGTCTTCGGGCTGCTGGAAACCACTGCCAAAGGCCATATGTGGGGCCAATTTTGACACGCCAACCACGCCAGCAACGTTTGCAGCCCTCCCACAGCAGGGGTGTCAATGGATTATCTGGCTCAAAACAACATTAACGTTTTTCCATGGCCATCTCTTTCCCCGTATATGGCTCCCATTGAACATTCTGGGACGAAATTGGACGGAGGATTGCTGCAAGTAGACAGCCACTCACACTTGCACAATTAGAATAGAGATTGGTGTTTGAGCGGAACCAGTTGCCTCAGGCATTCTTTCAGATTCTAATGAACTCAATGAGGCCACGTTGCACGGCCTGTGTGCAAGCTCAAGGTGGCCATATACGCGACTAAATAGACTGTCACTTTTCGCGTTCAGGGGTATCTGCATTTGACGGACTGTGATCAATTTGAACTTAATGCAATTCAATGTCAAAGCAACTTTCAGCTGTTAAATTGACAGTGTTGTCTTTAGAATAAATGATGGGACATGATTTTGGTTGTCTTCTATTCACAAACTTGACAAAAAGCCAGACTTGCGTTTCTTTTGCTGTTCAGTATATATATAACAAGACTAATTAACAAGGCAAGGTGGAATAACAATGTGATGATAACAAATAAAGGGATAACCGAGGATTACAGGGATAAACATAGAGGCGAGCCAGCGGAAGCCAATGATACACAGAGCATAGAATGTATACAAGATTAACATGGAGGCCAGTGGAAGCCAATGATACACAGAGGATAGAATGTATACAAGATTAACATAGAGGCCAGTGGAAGCCAATGATACACAGAGGATAGAATGTATACAAGATTAACATGGAGGCCAGTGGAAGCCAATGATACACAGAGGATAGAATGTATACAAGATTAACATGGAGGCCAGTGGAAGCCAATGATACACAGAGCATAGAATGTATACAAGATTAACATGGAGGCCAGTGGAAGCCAATGATACATACAAGAGGATAGAATGTATACAAGATAAACATGGAGGCCAGTGGAAGCCAATGATACACAGAGCATAGAATGTATACAAGATTAACATAGAGGCCAGTGGAAGCCAATGATACACAGAGCATAGAATGTATACAAGATTAACATGGAGGCCAGTGGAAGCCAATGATACACAGAGCATAGAATGTATACAAGATTAACATAGAGGCCAGCGGAAGCCAATGATACACAGAGCATAGAATGTATACAAGATTAACATGAGGCCAGTGAAGCCAATGATACAGAGAGCATAGAATGAATATAAGATTAACATGGAGGCCAGTGGAAGCCAATGATACAGAGCATAGAATGTATACAAGATAAGATAGAGGCCAGTATACATTCTATGCTCTGTGTATCATTGGCTCTGGCTAACCTCCATGTTTATTTTGTATACATTCTATCCTCTCTGTATCATTGGCTTCCACTGGCCTCCATGTTAATCTTGTATTCATTCTATCCTCTGTGTACCATTGGCTTCCACTGGCCTCTATGTTTATCTTGTATACAGTCTATCCTCTGTGTATCATTGGCTTCCACTGGCCTCTATGTCTATCGACCAAAGCAAACAAGGCATTATTTTCTATAAAGAAGTTAATCTACATGTATCCAAATATTCCAGTTAATATTCTTTTTAAGCTCTTTGATACCAAAGTGAAGCCAATTTTACTTTATGGTGCAGAAGTGTGGGGTTATCAAGAACGACAGTTGATAAGCAAATTTCATACAAATTTCTGTAAATATGTTCTTGGCATAGGTAAACATGTTTCTAGCAATGCTATATTAGCAGATTGTGGTAGATATTGTATAAGTGTTGATTATTATGTTAAATGTGTACGTTACTGGTGTATATTACTTCATATGTCTGAAGACAGGTATCCTAAGAAATGTTATATTTTGATGAAAAATCTCGACTCAGCTGGTAGATATACTTGGGCATCATACGTAAAAAGTTTGTTAAACATCAATGGGTTTGGATTTGTGTGGTTTAGTCATGATGTTGGCAATATTACTCATTTTATATCCATGTTCTAACAGAGGCTTATTGATGTAAAGGGGCAAAGCATATTGAGTAGAATTAATGAATCATCGAATTTAGCTTACTACAAGACCATTAAATCTTTATTAGATGTAAAGTTTTATGTCTCAAATGTACATTTTAAAGAATATAGACTGATATTTATGCTTACTTCTTTAGACTTCATCACCTACCCTTCTTTTGTAATGTAAGATGAAAAGATGATAGTTATGCCTCAACAACATGTAAAATGTGTAACAGTAATGTCCCAGAGGATGAATTACATTTTCTTTTTGTCTGTGATGTATATGTAAGGTTATGTAGTATATATTTACCAAATTT